ACTTTTTGCGGAATTTTAATGGTTGTGAGTTAAGGGTTGGTCAAGAGGAGGCATGTCAGAAATTTTCAAGGGCCCCCAAGACCTCGGTCAGGTTTTTAGTTTACCGCTCTTCGCAAACAAGACGATTGGGCAGCTCCGACAAGGCATCGTCACTGAGGCAGGGAAGCCAGCCCAGCTGTTTCAATACCTAGCGAGCTGAAAGTCCAGTCTCGACCTTCTTGCTTCTCTTGCTTCAGCTGGCCACACACGTCAGCAGACTCGTCGTGCTCCTCCCGCCTTGTCAAAACCTTAGTTGACAACTCTTCTTGCGAGCTTGTCAGACTCTGCAGGCTCCCCTCATGTATTGTCTTTGCGCTTCCTCGTCTGTCAGCTCTAGAGCCCGCTTCACGCCACCCCAGCTGCTCACCTTTGAAGGCTCTGGTTCTCTTTCTTCAGGTCCTCCAACTTCCCCCTGAGTTCCACCTGATGCCAGCACGTCAACAGCTGGAGAAGAGACGAGTCAAGGCTACCAGGGTGCCCTTGCACGTTGTCAGCTCCGGAGGGAGAGAGAGAGAGAGGGAGATTGGAGGAAAGGGATAGAAAGGGATACCTTCACAACAGTAAGTTTGAGGTCGATCCCACCAGAATGAATGCAAGTGAACAGCATCAGGCCAAGAAGGGACCCGATGAAAGAGACAACCTGAAAGCAAAATGCGATCAATGATTTACCATATCTCCCCGTCTTCCTTACATTGCTGCCGAACTCGATGCAGTCGGAGTTGTCGTCTCCCGTGAGATCGGCCGATCTCACTGTCGAGTTCCTCGACGAGCCGATACAGATTCTGCACAGAGGATGACAATAAGCAAGAGGAAGGGAGGGAGGAGAGAGGGAGAGGGAGAGGGAGAGCAAGGAGGAATGGAGAGGGGTTAAGAGCAAAGGTGAGGAAGAGGAAGAGGCACGGAAGAGGAAGAGGATGAGGATGAGGATGAGGAAGAGGAAGAGGAGGAGGAAAAGGATGAGAAGGAGGAGAAGGAGGAGAAAGAGGAAAAGGATGAGAAGGAGGAGAAGGAGGAGAAGGAGGAGAAGGAGGAGAAGGAGGAGGAGGAGGAGGAGGAGGAGGAGGAGGGTTCGGGCTTTGAGATGAGAGTGGATCTCACTTGTCATTCATCGACCAACTCTGAATGTGCCAGAGAAGTTTTGTTCGCTGACGATTCTCCAACCCAACCCGAGAGTGATGATCTGATCCACATGGAATTAAGAAAAGACAGAGGAGGGAAGAAAAGAGGGAAGAGGTTGGGAGGGAGGAGAGAGGAGGAGAGAGGAGGGGAAGCAAGGCAACAGACGAGGTGTGAGAGGGGAAGGCGAGGAACTCTCGACAAAGCATAGGGCAGGAAATGAGCTGTTTTGTACCTTGATAAAGTTTTGCCTGGACTGGCTCGAAGTCTCAGAGAAGATTGATGGATAACTTGTAAGGTAATCGCTCTGGGAAAAGCAGACACAAAAGTCACAAAATCTGCTCTCCCCTCCTCCCACCCATCTTACAATCCGAGTCAGGTACGGGTCATAACGGGACCGGACTTCTCCCAGCTCTGTCCCAGCTCCAGCCTGCAACACGTGAGCTGTTTCTTAGGAAGAACACTAGGAACTCGTTCACATGCGGTCCGGAGAGCCTCCAGAAATTGGGGATTAGAGGCCCACTGTACTCGCCCAGGAGATTGTTCGCCATTAGAGTGTACATTATGATGGTACTGCATACAAGGCACGAAAGCTGGTGCAAAGAGCAAGGAGGAAGACAGAGGAACAAAACGACGTGACAGACAAAGGCAGGAAAGAAAAAAGTCAGAAAAGTAAGGATATTGAACTTGCCTCCACCCTATTCAGCCATTCCACTCCTCTCACTCGTATCTTGCTCAATCCTCTCTGTCTGGCTTCCTCAGATACAACAATTCTACTGCATTTTCCTCTTACATCTCTCATCAGTCTCCCTTCTTAATCGATGCTCTAGCTCGTCCGCTCCCTGCTCCATCTCTCCATCTTCCCCACCTCATTCCCACATTCCTCCTACCGCTCACCAGCAGAATCCCGATGACCCAGATCTTCAAAGAAAATTGAAACAGGACGACAGACATACAATATCCGAACGTGCAGCTCACGTAGTTCCACCTAAAACCCTCCTCAGTCTCCATGTTCTTCCTCCCCCTCCCTTTGCTCACCCAATCATTGAACCCTGGCGTTCGCCGTCGCGTACTTGATTGGCAACGAGGACTGCCATGAGAGGACGGACGGCAGCCGATCCTACATGGACGATCACGAAGCCCATCCACTTGAGGGAGGAGAGGAGGTGATGCTGCAAGTGCTTCGAGTCGGATTGGTCATCCCCCTCAACGAAATGCTGAATTGGTAACAGCAGGGTACCAACGATGCAGGCGAGGAGGGAGATGACTTGGAGCTGGACGTTGCTGGCTGATCGGTTGTCGACGGACAGAGCGACTATGGGGGCGGAAAAGAAGAGAGCCAGACCCTGAGCAACCTCGACAAAACCCTCGTCCTCCAGTGAAAGCAAATCCGCTGACTTTTCAGCGTCGACGGGGACTAGAGCGTCAACGATCTTGAGCCTGACAGCCAGCAACCCAGCCAGTCCCAGAGCGATTCCTTGGGCCAGCGATGAGATGAGGAGGAGACCCACCTATTAGCGATACTCAGCACAAGAATCAAAGATCCGGACCCTCCCTCCCACTGACTCGCATTCCTCCTGAGGACCAAACCTACTCTCTTCCTCCTGTCTGCTGGAATTCTTTCCTCCTCTCTCACTGTCTTCTCAATCCAACTCCCTTTCCTACCCTCACGGCGTGATTGCCGTCTCCTGAAGACGATAACGCATGTTCCTGCGTTCCTCTGCATAGACTCTTCCTCCCTCTCCTTCCACAGAATCCTCTCTTCTCCTCTCCTCGCGTTGCTCACCACCCACTGTCGTCCATGCTCCGGCTCTCCCAGAGGGATGAAGCTCTCGATGGGCTTGTTGTTGATCATCAGCGCCCCCGCTTCGTCCTCATCCTCCCCTAGCATAGCGCCCCGTCCCCGCGGCCAGAACTCTGGCACAAAGACGTTTCACGCTACCAAGTTTGCCAGTTTTGGAGCTGAAGTTTGTCAAATTTTATTAAATATCAACAAATATACGTGAAATTTTGAAATTTACTGACATATTTTGGAAAAGTATGTACAATTTTCACTAACCAATTCTGAGGGGCACGCAGCAGGCATGCAGAGTTAGACAGGGGAGCAGCGCTGAAGGAGAGGATGAGGATGAGGACGAGGACGAGGACGAGGACGAGGAGGAAGATAGAAGGACAGAGCAAGAAGCGAAGAAGAGAGCGGAGGGGACAGAAGTGTACGAGGGATCAAGACTCAGCAGAGTAGATGTCTATAGATGCGACTAGAAACGTGAAGGCGTCCTGGGTGGCCATGGGAGAGAGATTGACAAGGGTGTGCTTCTTGTGGTTTTCTGAATGTTGTTTCCTGACAGGAGGAAGGAGGAAGAAAGAGCCCGTCGACATCAGGAGCCGGTAGTTCACCATGTCTCTCGCTTTCCTTGCCAAGAAGAGCTGGCATACAGCCAATATCAACAACCAAGAGCGAGTATGGCTCAAGGAGCAGGAGAAGGAGCGGGAGAAGAAGAAGACGGAGCTTCTTCAGAAGCAGATGAAGGAGGAAAGGGAGATGGAGGAGCTGAGGCAACTGCAAGGGGCAGGCCAGAGCACACAGAACAAGCTGACCTGGATGTACGCGCCCCCTATCAATGTGCAGGCAGACGCAGACGAATACCTCATGGGAAAGCCCAAGGAAGACGACAAGGAGGACGAGGATCTGAAGAAGGTTCATCCTCGCACCTCCTCTACAGGCGCACTGAGCTAGTCGATCAGGTTATGAAGAACGAGGCAGTCAGTCAAGCTTTTGTTGAGAAGCAGAAAGACGCGATTAGCGCCTACCGGGATGACATGAACAAGATTCGAGATGACCCCTTGTTGGATGAGAGCTTGCTCGGAGACTGTCTCACGCGCTGCTAGGTTCGCCATCAAGCACGCAGAGAAGAAGCAGCGGGAGCGAATGCTGGACAACCCGCTCAAAGTGGCTGAGTTCAAGAAGGCATGGAGACCTTGTTCCTGTTGGCCGTGGTGATGATGGTGTTGGTAGGAATTGGAGGCGAAAAGATTGGCAAAGGAGCAGAAGAAAGCTGCAAAGAAAGAAGCAAAGAAAATGAAGAAGGAGGGGAAACGCAAGGTTGATGCCAATAGCTTCGAGCGCAAGTCAAAGTCTCTCACTCGTTCTTTCGTAGCATGATTCCGATGATGACAAAGACGACTGGAAACGGAGGAAGATGCGAGAAGAAGCTTTCGACGACAAGTATTCCCGTCAGGACAGGAGCTCAGGACAGCACGCTCGGGAGTCAAGGCACGATGCTGGCCAGAGCAGGTTAGCCCACTACCTTCTTCTCTCCTCAGCTCAGCATCTGCTGGCAGGAGGTCGAGGTCGCGAGACAGGTACGGTGACAAGCATCGGTGAGCTGCTCCGCCTTCCTCCTCTCTTCTTCTGACGCTGCTCTCCTCCTCTCTTGTTCTGACGCTGCTCTCCTGCCCTCCCAGACGATCTCGTTCTCGCGACGCTTCTCCTCGCTCACGGTCCGTCACACTTGTGTCCTCACCCTCCTGACGTGCAGCTGCAGTCGTTCAAGATCGCGAGATCGCGCGAGAGATTCTGATCGCGATCGGTGCCTTGCCGCCAGCGCTCGCGTCTCCTTCTGACTGCCATCTCCAGCAAGCACCGGGAGAGGAGCAGGGAGAGGGAGAGGAGCAGGGAGCGTGAGGGGAGCCGGGAGCGCGAGAGGAGGTGCTTCAGACCCCGTGAGAGAAAGTTGACTTGACCTCTGACCGCATGTCGGCAGGCAGGACAACGGCGCCCCCAAGGCCCATTCCTCCTCCTCCAGCGGCCTTCTCGGGTATGGCCTGTGGAAAGGGTCGCAGTCTCGAGAGGAGAATCAGACGCCGTACGTGCCCGGTGCTGCTGTGGTGAAGAAGAAAGTACGAGCTGTCACGGGCATGCAGAGATTGACTGGATGGTGCAGGAGGAGTACTCCATGACTGGGAGGAAGGGAATCATTGACAACGGTTACGAGGTTGCGCGCAAGTATCATGAAACCCGGTAGGGCTCGAGGAAGATCATGTGGAGGAGGAGGACAATAAGGGAGGACGAGGAGAGGAGGAGGCGAGAAGATGATCGAGAAGACGGTGGAGGCTCAGAGGACTAAAGACAGCGAGGTGGGCTCGCCATGTCCCATGTCACGTGACGATGACGCGCTGCAGGCTGAATTCCAGAGCAAGATGAACAAGGAGACTTTCATGGCGTCGGCGACTACCATGGAGCAACGTACGGCACCCTTCCTCACAATCCCTCACCCTCCTCCCTCCCTCCCTCCCTCCCTCCCTCCCTCTTCCTCCTCCTCTCCCTCCTCCTCCCCTCCTCCTCCTCTCCGCGCGTGTGGGTGACGGGGAGATGCAGGGCTTGCGCAGAGGAAGCACTACCGTCAGCGCAACATCGACGACACGACAGGAATTGTGTGAGAAAGAAAGCATTGATTTGACGCTTAAAACAAGATTTGAACTTGTCCTACTCAAACCATTCACTACCTCTCTCTGTCTCACTCTCTCTACATCTCCAGCTCTCACGTAGCCGCAGACAGCAGCATCGCCGTCCCTCGCTTGATCCAGTGATCGGCCTCTGCTTTCCCCGACCGAAGCTCGACGGTGATGATGTAGGATGGTCGCTCTCGCGTGCCGGTGCGGACGGGGTAGTAGTAGCAGGGGCACTGGTAGATGCCCTTGCTCGCCTTCTTCTTGCTCTCCGTCGGCTTGAAGTTGATCACCGGCATGCTGATGAGCAGCTCCATGGGGTTGGGCTCCTGCAGGCAAGTTGCCTCCGCGTCCCATCCAGCTCCCTCCAGGAACGTGCCTCCTATGTAGACGCCCTCCCTGGGCGGCTCCTTGACCTCGTTCACCTGGATCACAAAGTCCCACGAGAGGACGTCGATCGAGACGCTGTTCCTCCGCGCTGAGTTCTGCAGCACGGCAGTGAGGAAGCCAGTGGGGAAGGTGAAGTAGCCGAGGTTGTAGACGACAGGATACGTTCCTGTGCCCCAGTCCGAGAACTGCTTCACTCGATCCAGCAGGTCGCGCGACCAGGTCGCGAGGGGCTTGAGGGAGGGGTACCCCTTCAGCCACTGGTTGGGGATCCTCCCGTCGAAGAGGCAGACAAACACTTCGTCAAGGTCTGACGTCATCACCACCGTCCCCTTGATCGCCTTCTTCAGCTCCGTCAGCTGCCCCCGGACGTCTCTCATCAGCAGGTTGTATCGCTCCACCTCCTGGAACAGCACAACATGCAGAGCACTCTGGTCGTCCATCTTGGCGGCCATGAACGCGTCCAAGTCCATGTCATGTGGTAGCTGCTCGAGGAGCTCCGTAGCGATGCCGTCAACGATCTGCTCCCTCGAGGCTCCCGAGCCATCGATGACTCGCGGCTGCAGCATCAGCAGAGCCTCGAGCATCTCGTTAGTGTCTTCGATCTGCGAAGCGATGTCCGCGTTCCTGTGCTGCCCGAAGGCCTCGGGGGCGTCGAAGTTGGGCAGCTGCGCGACGTAGTCCTTGTAGGACTGGAGGGGCCCGTCCTCGGGGATGTAGTAGGTGGGGAGGGAGGAGAGCTTGAAGTTCTCCGTGTCGAAGAGGGTCTCCGAGTACCAGCTCTCCAGGTAGGTCGTGACCAGCCTCCGGTCCCAGTTGTCTGTCACGCGACCGCCGTAGTTGGCCTCCCCGATGAGGTATCGGATCGCCTCCCAGGGGGTCTGCTCATAGTTGTCGAGGTAGAGGACCAGGAGGTCTTCGCAGATGTCAAAGTCAGAGTCGTTGAAGTCGTAGGGGATGTTCCACCCCAGGTTCTTGAACTTCCTCCTCTCCAGCAGCGACGCGTGGAAGTAGCACAGCACGAAGCACATCTTCTTGTACTTGCTCAGCTTCTTCGACCTCTCGAACTGCGGCTCTGTGAACTTGTTGAGCAGGCGCGTCAGGTTCGGTTTGATCCCCCGCGGCGGCTCTGTCGTCATCTTCAGCCCACTCTGCAGGATCGACATGGGGAACTTGGGGGTGGGGGCAGAGGAAAGCCACATGCGAAACTCAGGGTGCAGCTGCCGGGACGGCAGCTCGGCGACTCGTTTCTCGAGCTCGCCCATGTAGCTCAGGCAGAGGTGACAGTTGGCAAGGAAGACCCAGTGGCCATCCCTCATCCCCTCGTCCAGCATCCTCCCGGCGATGGGCCCCTGCCCCTGCCCCAGCGACAGGCTGTAGAACTTGTCGCCTATCCCCTTCTGCTCCGCCTTCAACTTGAGCATCACCACCGGATCCACTCCCGGGGAGAGCACAAAGATCAAAGGGGCTGTAGGAAGAGAGTCGTTGTAGACCAGGTCCAGGTCGAACGCTGGCGGCTCGACGAACTTGGGGCCGAGGTTGTTCGCCACGAAGCTGCTGACGGCAAAGATGACTCGGTCAGGGCGGAGGAAGCGGATCAGAACCAGTCGCTGCAGCTCTGTGCACTTGTTCTCCCACTCCCCGGGCAGCGGCGAGCTCTCCGGCTCCTGGTTGACGTACCACTTCTTCCAATCGGAAGTGTTCTGCTCCAGAGACGAAGTGATGTTGCGCAGGTTTGACAGCCGGTTGTCCATCTCACAGATCGCCTCCCATGCTGACTCAGCGATCCACTCGGGAGCTGGGTTGGGAGGGTGAGAGGACTTGTCGACCAGTCCGGGGCCGCGCAGGAAGAACTGGTACTCGTCGTTGTTGATCTTAGAGGACTTTTGCAGGATCTTGACGCACATCTGGAAGGAAAAGAGGAGCTTGTGCTTCTCGAAGAGGCTGCGGCAGATGTTCCTGTAGGCTGAGGCCGTGTGATACGTGTTGAGATGTCTGATCCTCTCTTCCAAATCCTCTGACTTTGCGCTCTTGTCGATCGACTGGTTGTAAAGATCGAAGTAGTAGTCCAGAGAGAACTGATACATGGTGTCCAGGTTCGTCAGATCCGTGATGACAAAGTAGAGGATGGAGGCTCGGGTTGCGCAGGGCCTGTAAGACTCCCTTGCCTTGTCGATCTGCTCCTTGGTACCTTCAGAGATCTGGAGCTGAGAAGAAACCTCCTCTGCCGTCAGCTTCGACGTCTGCAAGGTGTCTACCAAGCTCGCGTCGTCGAGGAGCGAACCTTTGCTGGAGGACAGCAGGGCAAGGATCTTGTTCTCGAGGTCTACAAGAGTTCGCTTGCCCTGCGCCACGTTGACTATGAGCTCTTGGTTCTTCTCCTCCAGGTCGGGGCGTTCCTTCTTCACCACCAGCCCCAGAACCTGGTCTTCCATTCCGTCCTCCTTCACTGCGAAGTTGATCACTGTCGTCTTGGTGGAGATCTCGGGAGTGTAGTGCGGGTTCGACAGCTTCGTGGTGATGTAGAGCTTGAAGTCCGGGTTGAAGTCGACCTCCTTGTCGCCGAGCTTGAGGATCATCGAGTTTCCTTTCTTGGTCACGGCCTTGGACAGCACCGGCTCCAGGGACGAGTCCAGCTCCTCGCCGATGTCCTGCAGCAGCACGGGGTTGCCGAACTGGATGGCGTTCTCCATCTGCCTCATCCAGTCCGACATGTTGAGGTCCATCACCTTGAGCCCCTGCGACTTCTCCAGGTTCTTGATCCACTTGTTCGCTTGGAACTGCGGGTCGATGCACAGGGGCCAGCGCCGGCCGAGGGTCACCAGCACGCCGTTCTCGGTGGAGAAGGAGTCGGGGGGCAGCCCTTGAATGTTCCACGTCCTCACAGTCGAGGGCTCAGCGAGGAACTCTGAGAAGGAGAAGTTGTCTGATGCAACGATCTCCAGCTTCTTCAGGTTCGGAATCCACGAGTTGTGGACCAGGTCCAGCCTGTACTCAGCTGTGAAGGGCCCGCAGTAGGACAGGTACGCGGCCGAGATCGCGCAGTCTCCGATGAGCTTGGTGATCTTTGACTCCAGGTTGGTCGCACTCTCGTCCCAGCGATCTCTCTCCCCTCCCAGCCCGCCCACCAGCCGCTGCGCTCGGTCCAGCTTGGCCTCGAGCTCGGCAGACTCGTTCATGAGCCTCTCCTTCAACCCGACGCTCTCGTCGTACTTGTTCTTGAGCGCCAGCATCTTGTCCGTCACTTCCTGCAGGTCGTCCTGGGCAGCCTTGAGCTGCGATCGTTTCTTCACCAGGCTGTCCATGGCTGCCTTGAGCTTCGCCTTCTTCGGCGCCACGTTCTTCGCTACTCGCCCGTACACCACCATCGCCCTCACCCACAGGCAGAGAGACTTGGCTGCCCCCGACTGTTTGCCGACCTGTTCGGGGTCGAACTCAGGCTTGGATGTATACTTCGACACCTTTGACAACATTGACTCGTTCAAGTTCGCGTCCTTGTCGTAGTTGATCAGCTCCGACAGGAAACTTGGATTTCCCAGCTCTTTTTTCGCCTCTTCCCACGAGCTCTGACCCTTTCTCAGCACCATCACGGCCTCCATCACCATCTCAACAAGTGGAGGCGGTTTGGCGTACGCCTTGATCTCTGACAGATCCTTCTTGTTGAGAGCGTTCAGAGCTTCTTCGGCTGCTGAGAGCGCCGGCAGAGCCTCGTCAAGGTCCTTCTGCGCGTCGTCTGCGATCTTCTGGGTCTCTGCCTCCTCGCGCTGGACCTTCTCGCTCTCCGCCTGAATGCTCCTCTGCTGCTCGTCGACAATCTTGCGGTCTCTGACGATCACCACCAGCATCTCCTCGCACTCCTTCTGCGCTACTGAGACTTCTTTCTTCTTCACCTCCAACTCTTGCGACATCACTTCGACTTGCTCGCGCGAGTTGTCAAGCTTCTCGATGCCGTTGCGGAATTTGAAGATCTGGTCCTCGAGCTCCTTCTGCTTCTGTGTCAGCACGCTGAGGTAGACCTTGACGAGCTCGAGGAAGTTGGTGGGGGTGACATAGTTGTTTCTCTTCAGCTCCTGCAGCATCCGAGCTGTGCTGTCGATGACGGAGGTGTGAACGACCGCAAAGATGTTCGACACTCCCTGCGTTGCCTCCTTGAGGTTCTGGTTGGTCGACTCGTTGAGGAACTTGAGCGAGACTTCTTGCAGCGCCTCGTTGGACCAGGCGGGGAACCAGTCGATGGTGCAGCAGTTGACCAGGTTGGGGAACATGCGCACTCTGGTCCTGAAGGCCTCTCCTATGGGGCTCATGCAGAGGATGAGGTGAAGGTTCTGTCGGCACCTCTCGATGAAGAGCTGCCATAGCACCGTCGGCGTCTCCTCCATCCCCGCCGCTCTCGCCTCGTTCCTCATCAGCTCCCGATAGTTCGAGACCTCATCGGGCGCAAAGAGGCCAGGGACCTCGCCGCTCCCGAGCAAGCAGTTGATGTCCTCCAGGAAGAACTCCTCCACGATCTGACTGTCGTTGAACAGGAAGACCGTTGGCTGGTTCTTGGCGCCGGCCATCTCAAACAACTTCTTGAGATCTTCCCTGAAGTCGTTGTAACGGTACGACTTGCTGATCTCGATCATGAACACTTTGAACTCACAGATGTAGCAAGCCAACCTGCTGATGCTCTGCCGCCCGCTACCTCCCACCCCGATGAGCAGGCAGTTTCCGCGAGGAAGCTTGATCACCCTGCAGATCCTGCTGAGGTGGGCAAGGGCGTCTCGGAAGAGGACCAGGTTCATCTGGACGACTCCTGGCTCTGTATTGTATTCATCCAACTTCTCTTCCACAAACGTCTTGAACGCCGCTTCATCCATCACCTCCTCATACGGGGGAGGATCATATCCTGCTCTTAGGAAGTCTACGAACATGGTCGGGTTGCCGTTGCCAATGTAGATCTGACTCCAAGAGGTCTGGAACAGAGTCTCAAGCTTGCCTTCCATCAGCTTCCGGAACCAAGCTCTGTCCACGTCGTCGGTCAACCTGTCGTGGAAGAGCCGGAAGCTTTCATGGATCCACAGTCGCGTCATGGCATCTCTCGAGTCGGTGAACTGCTCGTCAGCTCGGAGCACTCCCTGGAACACTCGGCTCAGGTCTCGCATGTTGAACATGTAGTGGCTCTTGGACGGCGTTGGCAGCAGCTCAGCCTTGACGGTGTTGTAGATCTCGATGGTGGCCTGAGTCATGATGTCCCCGAGCGGCTTGATCTCGTCCGCGAAGTGCTGGAGCTTCATGTTGATCAGAGTGCCGAAGATCCTCCTGACCTGCGAGTCATCCGGGAACGTGAAGTTCACGCAGTGAAATTTGCTCTGGAACCTCTGCGGCAGCCAGTTCCTCCCTCCGCCAGGGGGCCCCAGCGCGCCGAGCACGAAGCAATCTTTGATGAACCGCTTGAGCTGCTTTGCACGGTCGTACCAGAACCCGTACTCGAGCCACATCTTCAAGAGCTCGAGGGGAGGCATGCTCCCGAAGGTGTCTTTCTGCGGCATGTTCATGTCGTCGATGAAGATGATCATCTTCTTGTTGGCAGGAGGTGCGTACGTGTCTTTGGTCCGTTTCTCCACGCTCGCCTCGATGGTTTCCTGCACACGGTTCGAAGACGTCTGAGCTGAGAACTGAATGTTGAGGTCAGTCATGGACTCCGGGAGCTGCGCGAGGCACTGCTGGATGATGGTTGTCTTGCCGCAGCCGACAGGGCCAGTGATGATGACGTCACGATGCTCGCGGATGAGAACGTCTAGTAGAGACGTGTTGCGGATGGAGTCGATGGTCGGCACGATCAGCTTGAAGAAGGGAGTATCCGCAGTCGGTCTCCATTGCTTCGCCGTCACTTTCTCTTCCCAGGGGCTCCACTGCACCTTGTGAACGTCAACGAAGTAGTCGTAGACTGTGTTCTTGCCCGGTAGCTGGGCATCGATCTCTCTGATACAAACGTCCAACTTCCTCCTTCCGTTCTCGTCTGCTCCAGCTCCCAGAGACCAGGCTAAGCAATATATGAACCACATCTCAGTCATCTTTGCAAGCGTGTCACTTCCTGGTACGATTCCGTTCGCCTTGGTGCTCAAGGCGTCGAAGAGCTTCGTCAAGCTGATCACAGTGTTGAGAGGAGAGAGCGGAATGAGCTCAGTGACGTTGTGCTTCTTGTTCTCGAGTATCTTGTCGATGTACTTGTCGATCAGATTCGAGATCAGCGGTACCATCTCAGCATCCTCCTCCTTGCCCTTCTTGGACTCCAACCAGCTGTCAGTGTAAGAGCGCCATCCCAGCCCTGAGAGGTCGAAGTAGATCATCCCTGCTCGACTCACTGTGGCAGGTGAGGCCACAGCAAGGTCCTCGACTTCGAACAGACACTTGACCATGGGAGGCAACGCGATTCTTTCGCCGTTGATCAGAGTCAACAGCTTATTGTCGTCCAGAACCGTGTTCATGCTCTCTATCCACAGGGTGTCGACGGGCCCGTCCAGAAGGATCCATTTGTTGTCGGGCTTCTCGTCGGAGCAGGCTTCACGCATGCAGCTACTGAGAGTTCCATCAGTCCATTCGCGCGTCATCAGGTTGTACTCGCCGAACAGCTCTCCCAGACTGAACGCCTTGGGATTGAGCACGAAAGTCACCACCCGCTCCCACCCGCTCTTATTCTGCTTCTTCAACGAGTTGTGAGCCTTCTGCAGGGTGGACCAGGCGGTGGTTTTTCCTGTCTTGGTTCGCCCTACCAGCATGTTGCCGTGCCGGCAGGCCTTGGCCTCGTAGATCTGGATGGTCTTGAGGATGATGTTTTGATTGTGCTGCAGCTTTGACTCGGTGAGGGACTCTTTAATGCCTTGCAGCAGATCTCCGTAGTCCACCACAGGCAGCTCAACCCCTGGGAAAAGATCCCCGCAAAGAGCGTTGAAGAGGTGGATGTCCGAGCCCACCAGCTTCGGGATGGACATGTCTCTCACTGCCCGCAGAAGGATCACTTCCTCCGACATCTCCGGATCGACTCGCTTGACAGAACCTGCGACGACGAGGACGGCTTTGATAGCTCTCATCCCGTAGTCATAGTGATCCTGCTTGCTCATCTGCTGCTGCATCAGCTGGTAGAGCGTGATCAGCTTCTTTCCCAACACTTTTCCGTTCTGAAATCCCTCAGAGCTCAGCATGATTTCAGCTATCAAAGCAAGATCCGGCACCATCATCGCTATCGGCCTCAGAAGAGCTTTCAAATTGTCGGGAAGTTCAGAACGGCCGGCATATCCCGGGTTCATGGTGACGAAGATCCCGAGGGTCTTGATCAGCTTGATATGAATTCCTTCGAAGATGAGAGAGTTTTGCATCTCCTTGACAGCCGTGAGGATCTGAAGGATCTGCTGGGCTACAACTGAGAGGACCTCTATGTCAATCCTGTTGAACTCATCGAAGCATGACCACGCTCCCTGCTGGCAAAGACCTGAGAACATGCGCCCGAGAGACTTGTAGTCGAGGCCATCCGAGCAGTTGAAGACTAGCACGTACATGGCGATCGCCTTGCCGAGGTCCTTCACCGTCTCTGTCTTGCCGGTGCCAGCTGGGCCCAGGGGATTTCCTCCTCTCTTGAGGTGCAGAGCTGTGGTGAGGGTCATGTAGCACCTGTCAGTGAGAGGGGTGATGACAAGCCTTCCGTTGTTCCCCTGGTATTCGTAGCCGTAGACGAACTTGCTCTGATTCTGCTTCGTCAGGCAATCGTCAATCTCTTTGTCCCAATAGAATCGAAGTTGTGACATCCACTCGAAGTCGTTGAGGTACGCCGTGCCGTTTTTGATCATCTTGTCGATTACATCTCGAGCATGGACTTCGATGGTGATGATTGCGACGACCTTGTTTCGGTTGAGCTTGTTCAACTGGCCTCTCACCATCTCCGCATACTTGTTGAGCAGCACCACCTGCTTCTTCTTGGCGGTGCGGACGCCGACCTTGTTGCCTTTCTCGCTATCAAGGAGACCCTTCTCACACTCAGACGTCCACTGCATCTGACCGGCAGTGATCAGGAGCTGACCCGGAAAGTCGTTGACCCACTTCTCTCGCTTGGTTCCTTTCATGGAGCTAAGGGTTTGATTGAGAACCTTGCGGAGGGTCTGGCGCATGACATTCTCGATCTCCAACAACCAAACTTCGACAGGTCCATCTATCGTGATGTGACTCGTGAACAGCACGCTCTCTCCGTCCGGCGAGTTCATGGCGATCGCTTCGTAATTCCTCCGACCGTCTTTGCCGGGCGGCTCAAGTTTGAGGGACTTGATGGCTTCGAAGCACTTCTTCAAGTGAGGCTGGACAGCCAGGGGGTCTCTTGCCTGCCCTAAAATCTCCAGAAGGTCGTCGTTGGAGATGAAGTAGAATCGCGGGAACGCCTGCCGTTTGGTCTCCAGGTACTGGTCCAACGACTTTTGGATCTTCTCGAGGTTCGACTCCAAGTTGTTCAGCGTCTTCAGCATTCCGTCCAGTTTGCAGGCACTCACGACGTTGTTCTCCTGTTGCAGACGTTTCATGATCTGCTTCCATGTGGTGTTGATCTGATCGAAGAGCTTCGACTCGGTCGGCAGCTGCTTCCGAATGTCTTCTGAGCCCACGAAGATGTTCTCCAGGTACATCCAGTATCTCTGCACCGTGAGGATCGACTCGACGGTCTCTGAGACCAGTGACAGCGTTTTCTCCCACTTCTCAAGCTCGGGGAGAAACGACAAGGCATACTTGGATGACTTCATGGTTGAAAGTGAGACCACGTTGTCCTCCAAGGCTGCAAACACTTCCTCCGTAGATCTCAACATCAAGTAGTCTTCCTTGTACTTGTGAATATCTAGCTTCATGACGTTCCAAGTGCTTTCCATGTTGTTGACTGCTTTCTCAATCATCAACTCCTTGCTGGCAGAGTTCGAGATTGTACCGATCACCTCTGCAAAACTGGGAAGCTGTAGTTCCATCACCTTGTTCAGGGTGAAATCGTCATCGGAAGGCTCGAAAGTCTTGCCAATATGCTCCATCAGTTGTATCCAGTGACGATCACGAAGGGCCTCGTTCCTGAGGTCTTGGATGAGAGGCAGCGCTCTCTTGAACTGGTCCACTTTCTCTCTCGTCTTTTCCCAGATGTCCCAGTTCTTCACCTCCTTCCCAATCCTCTGCAACTTCTTGTTGAACTTTGCTGCTGCCTCCTCCATTTCCTCTGTGTGAAGGTCCGTGAACCTTCCGTTCTTCCACAACTCCCACATTTCATTCCACTCCTTCACCAAATTCCAACACTGCTCCAATAGCTCCAGGTCCTTCTCCACCAGAGATATGTCTTTGTACACCGGTCTATCCAGACCAAACAAGTCAACTCCGGCCTGCATTTTGCTCTCACCTTCTCGGTCTGCCGATGTCATTTGCTTCCAGTGTTGGATCTGACTGAAGGCCTTCTGCAAGTCAGTGTTGGGATCGAAAGGTCCTTCCGACAGAAACTTCTTCCTCTTGTTGGCGACATCAATCTTGAATTGTTCCAGGCTCTGAATCAGGTTGCCTTTCATCTTCTCTTTGCTGCTGTGAAGCGACCGCTCTGAGTCTGTTAGCATCGCCTTGAACTTGACAAACTCATTGGGAAGAGACTCCACTTGCTCTTTTTCTTCTTCGGGAATGATGATGTCAAATTTCTCCAACAGCTTGTAGTGATCGTACAAAGGCTCAAACCTTGCGCTGATAGAATCTGTTTCCTCCTGCAGCTTCTTACATTGTGAAATCAGTTCGGCCAGCTCATCCAGATTGGAAGGATGTGTCTGAAACTTCTGCGTGTTTGAAAAGAAGAGATCTCGCAAGGCATTTAATTCTGATGTTGCATTGCTGTGAAGCAAGGAAGTGAACTTGTTCTGCCAACCAATGCAGTGGCCAACAATTGCTTGCTTCAATGGCGAGCAATCGATACAGATGAAGTTCATGTTGACTATTGTATCTTCGGCAAGTATGTCATTCTGCAGCTCTCTGTATCGTTGAATGTCCTGCTCGAAGGTTGCCAAGGTGCGGTTTGCTTTGGCATACCTCCGGATGTATGCATCTTTGTCATAGTCCCACGTGTGCTTGTACTTCTCCCAGAACGTCAGGTACTTTTGAAGTTTATCCAGGCTTGAGCTCATTCCTCCCATCACGCTCACCATAATCTTGAGGATATCTTCGTCATTCGAGATCCGCGAGTAAAATGTCTCCTTTGAGTCATGGAGGTCCTTCAACTTGGGGATGATTGTCACCACTGTGATGAGCTCCTTGGAGACATTGTTCACCATTTGCGTTAAGTTGTTCATCGTGGGTTTAAACTCCACTCTCTCCCTCTCTAACGTCATGTTCACCTTGAAGATAGGGTGCACCTCAGTCTTGGCATCGCCGTTGATTGCCTTCGATATTTCTTGCAAAGATTTCTTCACGGTTGTACGCAGGGCATCTTCAACCATCCGATCGATCTTGGAAACATACCTGTGCCATTCTCTCTGTATTTCTTCCATGTCGTTGCTGAACATCTCGTAACTCTTTGAAATCAGGTTCTTGATCTCTTCATGCGCATTCTTCAATTTGTTCTTGACGTCAGAACGGTGTTCGTCTTGCACTTGTTCAAAGCTTCCTTCTTCATATATACGCTTGTTCTCTATCTTCACCAACAAGGTATCTGCAATCATGTTCCCAAGTTTCATGATTTGATCATGATTGGACTTGAAGGTCAGAACGAGTCTATAGACTTCTTCACAATGTGTACGGCATTGTCTGCAGTAGTAGTCGACTATACCGCGGGAGGACCAATGCATCTTAGTTATACCAGGGTTGATGATCCGTTTCAGGTTGTTGAGTTTCTCCTGGAATAATTTACGTTCTCCCTTGTCTGTAATAGACAGAATCTTGTTGAAATCTCGCACAACAAGCAGCACGTTCTCTCGGATCACCCTGAACTTTTCACGCTGAGAAGCCATCTCCATAGCCGTGTAGGGGATAGGAAACACCAACTTCTCCCAGTACCGGACTTCTTGGAACAATCGGATCAAGTCCTTGTCGAAGTTCATCTCCAGGAAGCCTCCGGCCACCTGGACGAGAAGGTTTCGCTCCAGCTTGCTCGCGTAGTTCTCGTCGATGTTAGACGCCCAGTCCTGATAGTTCTTCTTGATATATTCATCGATCGCGCCGCTGAGCGCGTAAAAGTTCGACTGAGCCTCTTCATGCTCTCTGCAGCTTCTCAGGTAGTAGGTCGAGTTCAAGACTGTCATCTGATCCTGCAACCTTTTCTGCAAGGACTTGGCCCATACGGCTGAACCGGAATACTTGGGAATTCCCTGACTGATAGGAGGGGAAGAACGATTCTGATTGAACTCACGTCCTACCTTTGTCAGCTCATTGAAAAACAGTGAGTAAACAAACGACGATTTGTTCTGCACCGTCCTCTTGATTGCTTCGCGCTTTGCCATATGGTGGAATGCCTCTAGCATCCTCAGCCCCTGCTCTACGGTGGAGACTGTCTCGAACGCACTTGTGATAACGTTTTGCATCATCATCTCCAAATCCTTGACTCCAGATTTGAATACGTTGTAATCATCATGCCATTTGGTCGCCTTCACATCCAAAATATTATACTTGAGGTTTGAAAAGTTAGTGATGAGCTTCTTGAAACTCTGCTGAATCTTTGTAAGGTTTTTCGAGATTTCGTCTCCTTGCACGCCACTGAAGACAGGTATTTCTGATTCCTCCGAGGGGCTGAATTGATTTTGACTCTCACATACCTCCAGCAAGTCACGGCATCTCTGCATGAAGGCATCTATTTGTGCGAAGATGCGACTCTCGTCATAGTTCCATGCTTTTTCGGGATCGATTATCTTCATCCTTTCTACCATCTTGCGGTAGATTTCTTTCCAGTCGTCTCCTGACTTTATGCTTTCCTGCAAAACTTGGGAGGGTTCTTCTATTTTACCGTCGAAGATGTCTTTCAAGTTGATGTTTTCACAACAACGTAGAATGATCTCGTTGCTGACTTTTCTCAGCAACCCCATGATTCGCTCAGGCGTATGGTAGTACTTAGACAGAGACCATATCACGCGGATCAGATTCAAAATCTCCGGGAGATGTTGTGAAATGTCTTTCGGCTTCGCGCTTGCCAGTTTGGTACAGGGATCGAAGAGGATTTGGAGGAACTTGAGGTTATCGCGAGCTTCTTCACTGCCATCCATGATCTCTTGCGCTAGGTCGCTGAACGGTTTCAAGTATGACGACTTTGCTTTCTCAAGGACCGAGCAGATCCGCTTCACATCTGATCGTTCGAGCTGTGAGCTGATTCCACTCAAATCGTCTGAGCGGCTTTTCCAATGCTGTATCTCCGCTAGAGGGCCTCTGTCCTCGTGTTGAGCATCGCTGTGAGAGGCATCGGACCCAGCAATCACCTCTTTGATCTGCCTCGTCCAGTGAATCAGGTTTGTCTCCAGGCGCTGGACTAGCTCCTTGTCTTTCACGCAGGCATCCAAGTCAGTCAGATCGTCTCTCGGCACGTACAGCACGGTGTTGCCATGGATCTGATGCGAGCTTTCAGTCAAGATTGCCATAAACTTGTGTATCTGTCCGCTGAATTCCTTTCTAAAGCTGCACGCACTTGTCAGGGGTGACAAACAAACGCTCGACTACAGACCTATCTGGCCATGTGCTGTTGGACGAAACCGCCGGCACGTAGATTCTGCTCATCAACTTCAACAGGCTCGGTATACTTTCAGGACCAAGACCGTTCAGCTTCCCTGCAACAATCAGCCAACATGTCAGTGCAACATCGTTTGCTATCCCTGCACTCACCATACTGCACCATCCTCCATATGTTTTCTCTCGTTACTGGAGACCCGCTGGACCTCATGAAGTACATGGCATTTTTAGCTCCGGGAGGCGGCAGATATTCTGAAAGGACAAGATCCCCTTTGAGTTTATACGCAAACAACCTCGCGCTTCTATCGCTTGTCAGGAATTTAACTGTTTCTTTGCGAACCTCATCTTCCTGCCACCAGACAAACATCAGGGATTGCATGAAGCACAAGCGTCGCACTCACAAAACTCTGATCTTCAGCGCACACGTGGGATTCAATCAACCTATCCCTGATCCACTCTACGCACTGAAGCAAACGCATGCCTTCCAAAGCTGAATCTGAGGGATCCTGCTCCGAGGGAAGGTCGGCCAGGATCTCTCTTGTAGTTGCAGACGTGTTCTTTTTCACGCTGATTTCTGCAGTTGCTTCAATCGGAGAGGCCTTGATCGATGAGACCGCGATGGAGCCATTCACATTTTCGTTCTTAGGGGAGGTTTCAGAGGCGGTTGGATCTTGTACATCAGTTCCATTTGGTGATGCTTGCTCTTGCTCTCCTTGACTTCCGCTTGCCTCTTGACTTGTTTCATTCTCAGCAGGTCTCTCAGGGCTCTCGCCATTCTCATTACTCTCTTCGATCTTTTCATTGTCAATCAGTTTTTCTTTGCTTCCAACCGGTGTATCCGTATCGTTGTTCTGCGGAGAGACGTTCTCGGGGCTTTTCTTGCCTGAATTTGGATCGTCATGCTTGTCGTCTTGACCAAGTCCTTCCGCTTGCTCCTCTCCTTCCATGACCGTCGCTTCTACCCCCTTCTCCTCCTGCTCCTCCGCCTCCGTCGCCATTCCAATCGGCCCGCGGGTACCAGGACTTCAGAGAAACACTCCAACTGCTAAAATTGTATATTGAAATTCGAAATGTGATAAGGATATATTCAAAATGAATACCCAACTCCAAGGTAACTAACGGTTGGGCTCCAATGCTCCATCACATTCACCCTCATCCCCCTCTAGCCCCGCCAAACCCACTGGGCCTGATTGGGGCCCGGTCTGCCCGGGCCCCGACTGAGACTCCGGGCCTCTTTGCTACCAGTGGTTTACTCAAAGTTAAGTGATCGGACGGACTTCCAGCCATTCACCGTGTAGTGACATAGTAATATTTACCCAAGGGGAAGTATCCAGTACTATCTTTTCTCAACAAATTGCATACGAAGCCTGCGGAGGGAGAAAGGAGCATGTTGACCTATTGACTCTGGCGAGCAGGTAATGGACGGCCGTTTGGAGGGGACAAATCTGCACTTTCAGTGTTACAGGAGATCTACCAGCAGCTTTCTTTTACAAGTGACTCAACAGCTATGGATGCGTACATACGAGATGGTGATACGTTGGAGTATTTTGGAGGAGTGAAAAGCAATGTTCATGAGGACATCTTGAGGCTCGGACCATAGTATGATAAATAGCTTATGAAAAATATAAATAGCATATGAAAAATGATATGGCATATCAATAGCATTTGAAAAATGATATGGCATATCAATAGCATATATGAAAAATGATATGGCATATCAATAGCATATGAAAAATGATATGGCATATCAATATCATATGAAAAATGATATGGCATATCAATAGCATATGAAAAATGATATGGCATATTCATTAAAAGTATTGCGGCATAGTCACTGAGTAGCATACTAGTTCTGACTAACAAGAAAGCATTTGTGCCACTATACGCTGTGACTCAATGACCCCTTGCTAAGACATGACTGGAACAACTTGTCAGTGGTATATCACGAGAGATATTTGTGATAATGAGCTAAATTGAAATCGAATGTCTGATGAGTCTTGAACACAATCAACGTAGAGCCTGACGCCACTCGCGGCCTACAGCCTTGGATTCTACTTGGACGTACAAGAAAGGTTAAGTTATCATATCTACTTTACTTCCGACAACAAGCTTGACGCCTCTGCGACCGCTGCGAGGACATCCGTCCAACCAGCGACCTGAAGCTTGAGGGCCTGCAATAGGTGAAGTCATCATGTGGAATTGCATACGAGCAACGCACTTTTCTGTACAGGTCCTTGAACGCATCCTTGTTGCGATGACTGCTGGCTCCACCTCGTGCCGGTGCCGTCGTCGACAAATCTCGCAGCAGACTTCGAAGGTCGTCGAGGACGTTCTCTCTCGCCGACTTGATGTCGTTGGTCAGCTGCTGACTGCCTGAAGGAAGTCTCCGAGCGATGGCAAGGGCGTCTAAAGATTCCTTCATCGCCTGCTCCTCCTGTCACTGCCCGACAGCACAGCTGCAGCAACTTCACCTGCAGGCTCCTGGGGTTGGAGAACCTCCTGCGAACAAGTTTGGAAAGCGAGGAGACAGCAAGGAGGAACAAGGCTTCTCCTCCCTCCGCCTGCCCTGCTCGTCAGAGTGATACACGAGAGTACCTTCACCACCTCGCTGCCACAGATGTGCATGCACTTTCTGAGCTGGTTCTCAGCTGCTTCAAACCGTGACTTGTGCACCCTGGATGCCGGGCTGCTTCCCAGCTCTCCTTGGCCCAGGTCGAGCGTCTTCAAGTAGAAAGAGCCGAGGGAGAGATGTGACCGGGCCACCCTCAGAGCTGGAGCCTGCTGCTGCTGCAGGAAGTCCAGGGCCCTGACCGCAGCTGTCACGTGACCTCCTCTTCCGAGTAAAGTCACCTGGCCCTCAGGTCGACTATCAGCTGGGCGTCTTCTCTCGCCCCTTGATCGCTCCACCACTGAGCCGCCGCGTTCCCCGAAGGATCTTCACGTAGGATGTCCTTCTCGAGGAGGGAGGCCATCTCGTCCAGAGTCTCCGCTATCTCCCCCTGCCGAACCCTACGGTGAGCGTGACTGACTCGAATGACTCTGACTCGCCTGTATGATCTTCCACACCATCGGATTCGTCTGCCTCGTCTTGAGCGCTTTGAACGCCAGTTCATACCTACGTCCCTGTCTCACTCTCCGCCACATCATCAGCCTGCCACCCACATCGGGATGGAGGACGCGAAGCAGGCGCGGGCAGGGCCCTGAAACCTTCCTCCGCCCTCTTGTCGCAGCATGGAGCTCCTGCCCTTGCAACATCAGTCGCTTTCATCTCCCGCTTCACCAGCACCTCCCCCTCATCAGCCGGCCGAGGTTGATGGCAACAACCGCTTGATTGTCCTCATCCCTGTTGACGTCCATCAGCAGCTATCGCGCTCAGTTCACGAGTTGACAACCCGACGGTTGTGAAGACGCTGAGCGCTTGCTTCCAGTTTGTCTCCGCCTGCAGGCGATCAGCACGAGGAGGAGGAGGAGGAGGAGGAGGAGGAGGAGGAGGAGGAGGAGGCTGGGGCACCTCGTCGACATTCATTTCGCTCCAGAAGATCTTAGCCATTTCGTTACGCGCGTGCCCGAGACGTCGCTGAATTAGCGTGAGAAGACAAGGAGGCAGGCGATCGCCTTCACCATGTGGATCACAAAGTCGACGTAAGAGCCGTGAAAGGCGAAGTAGCTCGTGGCCTTCTCGTAGTGCCTCAGCGCCTGAAGGTCCGTCAGCTCCTCCGCCAACATGAGCGAAGCTCTGACATGTTGCAGCCGCGTGCTCTTGGGCATGGCAACGACGTCCTGTAGAGGAATGTAGGGTAGATGTTCACCGTGCACGTCGAGACCAATCAGCTGCCCTCCTGATTCCAAATTGTTGGAAATTTCCTCCACATCTGGAATGGAGTGAGGGACAGAGGAGGCGGAAGACAGGAAGCGACTCTCTCAACATCATCTCACCTTGTTCTGGAGCCTGGTCACTTTCCTTCTCCTCCTCCCCGTCATTGCTGCTCGTGTCTCCCGGGCTGCCGCTGTTGGGGGACGCGAAGAGGTCGCCGAGGAGGACGCTGAGGGGGAGGGTGAGACTGATGTAGGAGGGATGAACAAGGTCACCGTAGGCGGGCGAGAAAGAAGGCCTCGAGCGGCTTCAGCCTGTTGGCTGCCGGTGACTGGTGAGAAGAAGAGAGGAGGCGTTTCTCACTGCGAGTCCTTCGACGAGGTGATGGCACATTGGAAAGCGCGTCGGAGCATCAGAAATGCGCTGGGAGGGTGGGATGTCAGAACAGGAGTCAAACTGCACCTGGCGGCTGATCTCAGCTCACCTGTCAAACTGCCCTTTGGAGACGTGAACGTTGCAGAGGAAGACAAAGCACTCAAGGGCCTGTGGGTGGCAGGTGACTGGAAGGAAGAGAGGTCCCATCAACTCGCCTTCCTCTTCAGTCGGTATAGAAGCGATCCACCGCCTGCAAGGGTTTGGAGGACGTTGATGCCCCTGGTAAGGCAGAAAGGTCATTAGGAAGCAGGAAAATCATAGTCGTTCCATCATCACCTTGACAAGTGACCGACGGCGCACTGAGTATCGAATCGCTTGTCTGAGGAGGGGAGGACGAAGGTGTCTGCATGTAGCGCATGATAGCTCTCGACGCACCTTCGAAACTTCCTCTCAGAATGGGGTAGGAGAGGTGAGGGAGAGGTAGAGCCTTACCCCAGTCTTCTCGATCTCACTTTGCTGCTGATCTCCTTGTCATCCTTCATGTCGTCTTCGATGTCGATGGCAACATAAGTTTCTGCAATCCCTTCTTCCACGGTCGCAATGAGAAACCCGTGCTCCCTCTCGTCCAACAGTGAGGAACAGTGCAGCAGAAGCTCTCTCCTCCTCGTGCGATGCTCCTGCTCCACTGCTTTAACTCGCACTGCATGTCTCTTCCCTTCCCCACCTGCTTCAGGCTTCCTGCAAGACTGATCCAACATGTGTCAGTGTCTGGAAGAATCATGGGAGAAGGATAGAGAGATTGAAGAAAAGGAGGAAAGAGGAGTTGCACTGGAAACGACAAGTAGCAAGAGTGGAAGAGCAGAGGAGGAGGAGAAGGAGAAGAGCAATAGGCACGGGTAGGAGGAGGCTGCTCACCGAGCTGCCGCACGGAAGCACAACATGGCGACAGGGAATGCAAAGCGAGGAGGAACAGACTTGATATGACTGAAACTTTCATCCTTGCTGGCACCCATCGCTCGATTCATCGCCTCGAGATTGTACAACTGCTCCTCGTCATCGCAAAGTCTCCTCCTCCCCTCGCCTGCTCCTGCCCTTGATCCTCCTGCTCTTCCTCGCTCCAGGCCCTGCTCCTCTCCTCCCCTCTCCTGCTCCTCCTGCTCCTGCTCCTCCTGCTCCTCTCCTCCTCTCGCCTGCTCCTGCTCCTCCTGCTCCTCCTGCTCCTCCTCTCTCCTGCTCCTGCCCTTGATCCTCCTGCTCTTCCTCGCTCCAGGCCCTGCTCCTCTCCTCCCCTCTCCTGCTCCTCCTGCTCCTCCTGCTCCTGCTCCTCTCCTCCTCTCGCCTGCTCCTGCTCCTCCTGCTCCTCCTCTCTCCTGCTCCTGCCCTTGATCCTCCTGCTCTTCCTCGCTCCAGGCCCTGCTCCTGCTCCTCCTGCTCCTCTCCTCCCCTCTCCTGCTCCTCCTGCTCCTGCTCCTCCTGCTCCTCTCCTCCTGCTCCTGCTCCTCCTGCTCCTCTCCTCCTCTCTCCTGCTCCTGCCCTTGATCCTCCTGCTCTTCCTCGCTCCAGGTCCTGCGCCTGCTCCTCCTGCTCCTCTCCTCCTCTCGCCTGCTCCACCGCTCTCTCCTCCTGCTCCTCCTCTCTCCTGCTCCTCCTGAATGCTCACCTGGAGCTTGTCGTCTCCTTGCTCGCGGTAGAGCCAGTAGGTGGATGCCTGCCAGCATTTCAGCATTTGAGCATACGCGAGAGATTCTTGTGCTACCTCTCTGCTGCACTCTTGACGGAGCCATTTGAGGACTTGCGCTCCACTGCAGGATGCACGCGAAGGTCAGGGGGAGGAAGGAGACGACGAGGAGCCAGGGGAGATGTGGGGGTGGCGGGGGTAGCGGAGGAGGAGGGCAAGACAGGTCACTTTTTCTCGACTCTCTCAGGGCTGAAGGCAAAGTGCGTCATCTCCGGAATATCCTGAAGAATTGTTACGAGTTGACTGAGAAGCTTCAGGTCTCTCACTTGAGTCCTTTTGAGCATGTACCCTTGCATGACACAGTCTTTGTGCCAACAGATCATCACCTGCAAAATCATCGTCGTCAACATCGTTCCCCCCCCGCCCCCTCCCCACCACCAACACCAACACCACAATCATCGGCATCATGATCATCATCATCACCACCACCACCACCACCACCATCACTATCACTATCCTCGTCATCATCATCATATTCCACGTAGTCGCCGTCTTCATCCATGGCTGAACATCCTCTCACACCTCAGGGACGGAAGCGATCACGTTGTCCAACCAGAGGTCAAGGTACGAGTGCAGGCTCATAACCTCAGGGTCCCTTACATACAGCGACACACATGGATGTCCGCTCGACCCGAACACCTTGAGGGCCAAGTCAGCCAACCACCAGCAAAGTGTCTTCTCCTCCTTCTCCTCCTCCTCCTCCTCACCATCACGTCGGACCCCAGCAGCATCTGCATCCCTCCGAACCTCAGACGACACATGCGGAGAATGCTTCACACAAGGTGGTCAGAAGGAGGGAGGAGGGAGGGCTCGGAGTACCTCTCTTCCTGCTCCTCCTCCTCCTCGCTGCTGTCAGATTCTTCCACCTTGAGGTGAACCTTGCTCGCATTCACATCATGCGCTGGTGTTCGTGAATGCTGTTCCCCCTTCTCTTCCCCTTCCTCCTCCTTGGCATCTCGGAAGCTGTTGGTTTCCTTCCCGTCTCCTCTTTCATACACAGATATCGCAAGGGGGCCCTGCCACTCCTGGTTGATGTTCTCCTCCTGCTGCTGCTCCAAACTCTCGCTTCTCCGGGAAGGGACCTGACAACACATCAGACGTTTACTTTTCAATCGATCACGGAGCATCGACCTGTCTCTTGCGGGCAGACGTGCTCCCAGGGCACTCCGGCTCCTCGTCTTCCCAAACCAGTTTCTCTGTCATCTTCACGCTGTCGAGCCTCTCTGTCTCGCTGGCAGATAAGACCCTGTTGTACAACGCTCGCTGCAAGTTTCGGTTCTGCTTTGCTCTACCCGTGAACTTGTCAGAGCAAAGGAGCAGAGAATGGCAGTTGAGTTTCACCTCTTGGAACAAGATTTCTTGGGTTTCTTCCACGAGTTCTGGTCGGAAGCATCTGGAGGACCTGGAGTTCCCTCTGCCAAAGTCAATGGTCAGGATTCGCGAGCAAGGAGCCTCCTGTCTTCTTCACCTTCCGCGCTGTGCTTGCTCATCCTTCCCACCGAGTCGATGAAGAGGGTCTCCCCGACCTGAAGAGGTTGAGGGGTGAGGGGAAGGAGAGGAGGCGAGGAGCAAACTTACCCTGTGGACGGCGAGGGAGACCTGATCATCCGAGTAGGGAAGTGAGAGGATTTGCTTCATGCTCCCTGCCATCCCCCGTTATGGTCGTGCACAACAAACATCCCTGTCGCTCTACCAGCCTGAGCGATGATCTCCAGGTCACCTTCTGCCTGCGAGAAAGAGCCGTCGTAGGTATCTCCACTGAAGTTGTTCACTGCTCTGTCATCTTTGTTCCTCTCTGCCTTCCAGCCCATGACCTCTCTGACCATGACTGCTCCAAACATTCAGCAACAGCATCGAATGACAAATGTACTCGTCTGCCGACTACCTTCAGGCCCTCTCTCCCCATACTTCTCCACCTTCCAACAAGACATCAGCTGCAACTGCAGCAGCGAGGATTCTCAAGAAAGATCTCACCTTGTTCGCCATCGACAGTTTCTCTGCGTCCTGAGAAACCCAAGACAAGCAAAGCGCCTGCTGGTTTCGCGAGTCTTCAGCCTGCAAGAGGCCATAACTCCCCTCTGCTGCAGCTTGCGAGATCGGCAGGGCAGAGAGATCAAGGTTTCTCCTCTGCAGAACGTTGGGAGAGCTCAACGCATCTCCTTCTGTTGAGTTCGCTCTCACGACATTCAAGGATAGAACGTTTTCCTCACCCGGCCTCCAGAACTTAGTCTGTTCGTTGGTGGAACCCCATGCCATGCTGGGGCTTTCGTAGTTGCCATGCTCGTCGTATCCCTGAGAAGAGGGTGAGGGCAGGAAGCAGACGATGAAGGGCACAGCACCACACACTTGCCTGCTGAATGCGAAAGGTGGAGACGGGAGGGACGAGCGGATGAGGGCGAGAGAAGAAGGAGAACGACATCCCAGCACTCGTTCGCTCCTCACCTCCCTGATCGCTCCTTTGGTGTTTTCAGACTCTCACGTACGAGTTGATGCTGGTAGAAAACTTCAGGGCTGCTGTCGTCGTTCAAGGCCTTCAATTCGATCACGAGGCCATCGGTTCGACCTCGATTGAATCCTTGGATGCTTGTTGGGCCAGCATCGCATTGCTTCGCTCTCACTCAACTCTAAACTCTAAATTCTAATCTCCCTCCTACGTCTGTTCCATTGAAGCTTCTCATCAGCACCCTTCTCTCGACCAACCAGACACCCAGCAGGTTTACTCCCCAATCCCTTGCTGCATTGCTTTCTTCGTACTGTTCGTCACAATAGCATCTTAGCTCTCACAGACGTTCGTCTTCCTTCTACCCATCTATCCTCAGCATCTGGCGACACCTCATTCCCCGTCCTGCCCATTCTTTCTCTCCTCCTGCCTTCTATCCGCCATTACACACTTACCTCGAGCATGGAAAATTCCTCAGTCAAGTTCTTGGTCATACAAACGTTTAGTTAATGATCAATTTCAGTCAAAAATTTAGTTGATGGATCAACTTGGGAAAAAGTATCGACTTTGCCAGCCCACCTCAGGAGAATGATTGAACGAAAGAAGAGGCAGACAAATATTACTGCAAATCTAATTACCCAGAGCCAGCCTGGGTCTTTTGCTCTGAGGTGAGCTGCCTATCGCTGTCCCGTTCAGTGAGGGGATGAGGTTCCACCAATGCATGCGTTACGGCCCCAAAACTGATATTTGCGGTAGTAAAGCGATGGAGAGACAGGGTGGGTGATGGCGAAAATGTCGGTTAGAATATTTCAGGGGAAAAGGGGGTACTGCATGGTTATCAAGGGGGTGGGGTTAAAAATTCTGAACAGGTAGGGTTATCCATTTATAAAAGTTGTGGGCGGACATTTTTAGCCAGGGTGGAGGTGGTATGGAATTGAAGGGAGTAGAGGGGGTTGGGGTGGTAGGTCCACTCCGGAAGTAAAACTTTTCTTTCGGTGAGGGGCTTCCCGTTGGTGTTGAAATAGAGAAATTCTGTATTCTGCCACATTTACTAGAAACAACATACTATAATTGAGTAATAATGTATATAATTCAATAAATTTAATGTGTAAATCAGTTTTCTGGGATCTCTTTTTTTGCTGTATTCAATTTCTTCTTCCGTCCAAAGGACCTTGTCGCAAAATTCCTCCTGTCCTCAACCGAAAACGCCCCCCCACCCCCACGTCAGCAAACCCCCTCTAAAACCATGGTGACTTTAACTACCCCCATATTATCCATCTATCACCCCACCTTTTACCAGGAACCCTTCCGGTTCCAACAGCAAAGTCACCCCTGACCCCTTCCCTGAGACTAGGTGATACCACCGGTTCCGTTCTCGTCGAGCGACCCCACAGGTGAACTATTTACGGTACCCCTATTTTCCCCAATGACTACCCTCTCTTTCCCCAGAAGGCACAACCACCGTACCCTACCCTTTATCATTTCAACCCCTACAGGCTTTCCCTCCACCCGCAATGCCATCCAAGTAAACCCGAGCACTATACCTACTTCGTCTTCTTCATACCACCTGCTTTCCTCCCCCCTTTCCTCTCCAAAACCAACCTCTCCTATTTCTCTCTCTCAGTCCTCCTCCTTCCCTAACTTCCTTCTTCTCCAGCTCATCCAATTACTTTTCCCTTCTTTTCTGTTTCACACAAACGATTTCCATTGCCATCGCAAATTCATCCTCTCGAACACCTTTCATTATTCAACATCACCAAGTCTGCTCCCCCTGTCTGGTGCAGCACCCCAGGGAGATTAGTATACTGTTCTGCAGTCTCTTCAACTAGCTTCAGAGATGGTCGCATTTGGTGAATCGGGGAAGCTCTCGGAATTCAAGAACCTCACCCTCATCGGGAAAGGATCGTTTGGGAAAGTTTATCGAGCTGTTCGTCTGTCGGACAATATCGAGTGAGTCTATTCCTGAGCGTCTCTCGCGCCCAGTACTGACTCACTGCTGCAGGTATGCCCTCAAAGAGCTGGACATGCGCCCAATGCAACAGCGAGAGAGAGAAGATTGTGTTAACGAAGTTCGCATCCTTGCCTCCAGTACATGCAATCCTTACATTGTCCGTTATTTCGATGCCTTCATGGAAGGCGAAAGCCTCTGGATTGTCACTGAATTGGCAAGAGGAGGCGACATGGACGCCAAAGTCAAGCGGCATCAAAAGCGTGGGGAGTACATGCCTGAAGATATGATCTGGAACTTCTTCATTCAGATTTGTCAGGGTTTGAAACATCTGCACTCAGCCAATATTTTGCACCGGGACATCAAAGCTCCCAACATCTTCATCACAGGTCCGCGATCGGTGAAAATTGGCGACATGGGTGTGGCCAAGTGCACGAGGAGCGGCATGGCGCGGACGCAGATTGGAACGCCTTACTACATGTCCCCTGAGCTATGGAGAAACCTTCCATACGATCAGAAGAGCGACATCTGGTCGCTGGGGGTGCTCATCTACGAGTTTGCTGCCCTCAAGCATCCGTTCCAAGCACAGAACGAGCGGCAGCTGTACGAGCGAGTGATGCGAGGTGCCTACCCTCCCATCCCTCGATGCTACAGCCCGGAACTAGCGAATGTGATCAGAATGATGCTGACTCAAGATGCTTCGAAGAGACCCACCACGGATGAGCTCCTTGCCCTCCCAGCAGTCCAGAAGCACTTGGAAAGTGCTGAGACAGCTATGGAAGACATGATCTTCAACAAGGAGTGTCTTGTTGGCACAATTCAGGTTCCCAGGATCCTCACGCATCTACGAAACAGACTGCCAGGATCCAAGTATGAGCACGACAGCAGGGACATTGGGGAGAACGGCCCAGTGCCAACCTCACGGAGCTCGGAAGGTAGAACGAAGAGACGTAAGGACCGGGGCAGCGTGATCAAGAGCATGGATGAAGGATTAATCAGGAGGTCGAAATCAGAAGCTCTTGAAGCCCTTAACTCGGAGTTTTTCTCCAAGAAACATGATTCGCTGCTCCAGAGAAACAGATCGGAAGTGAGTGTCCTCCCAAAGATTCCCTACAACATGGCGAAGAATGCAGAGATCGTGAGGATCAGGAGGGACGATGTGCTTGGACGATTACCTCCCATCCCTACGGCCGGCTCGAGATACAGCAGGCAGGAATTGAGAGCATTCCATGATAGACGACGACCGTGGTGAGATGAACTTGTAGAAAATTCAACCCTTTCCCATTGATGTAATTTAGTCTTAATGTGCGATTTCACTTGTTCGAGTACAGAGTAACTTCTTTTCAAGGATGTCAACTTACTAATAAAAAGAGAACAATCTACTCGTTGTCTATGTACATGTCAATCGCTCGCCCCATTCCCTTCAAGCGCCTTGCTGCTGCTGAGGCATCTCCAGAACCCTTCCTGGGCCCTCTTGGTGGAATCGATCGCGTCCTGGAACACTGGTTTTGGAGCAGGCACTTCATCTGTACCCTGGAAATCTTCCAGCAGATCTGTTTGAAGGAGGGCACAGGTGCACGCGGCAACCGACTGGCTCGTGGCTCTAAGACTGTAGCCCCCCTCCAGAACGAGCACGACTTTCCCTCCTGCCAGTTGCATGCAAGCTTGCGTCATCTTGTAGTAGCACGACGGTGTCACTTGGCACCCACCTAGTGGGTCACCTTGCGCGGCATCGAACCCAGCGCTGATGAGGACAAGGTCCGGGCGGAATTCTCTTCCTATCGGGAGGAGGAGCTGGTCGAGGACGGCGAGGTACTCGGCGTCTCCTGCTCCAGGCTTAGGCCAAGCCACGTTGACCGTGAAGCCTTGTCCCTCGCGAGTGCCGCAGGAGGACGAACTGCCGTCGGGGCCTCCCGGATAGAAAGAGCCTCTGTCATGACGATGGACGGAGAAGAAGAGGACGGACGAGTCCTCAAGAAACATCTTCTGTGTCCCGTTACCATGATGCACATCCCAGTCGAAGATCAAGATCCTCTTGGCCCACTGCCTCAGCTTCGCTTCCCGTGCCGCTACAGCAACGTTGCCGAAGATGCAGAAACCCATAGCACATGCGGGCAGCGCGTGATGTCCTGGCGGTCTGACAGCACAGAGCGCCCTTCCAAGTGCGTTGGAGGCGACCATCCTTGTGGCCTCGACCACGGACCCAGCAGCCAGCAGGGCACACTCCCGAGACTGCGGGCAGAGGTAGACAGAGTTCATCTTGGACGCGATGTCGTCGAGCTCCTTCTGCTCCTCCGGCAACGAGCAGATGGTGTGCACGTACCCAGCTGCGTGCACAGATGAGAGCTCCTCGGGCCTCGCGAGACGGGCTCGCACCAACTCCATCCTCTGCAGGAGCCCGTGCTGCGCGAGCTCGGCATAGATGTAGGAGAGGCGGAGCGGCTGCTCGGGGTGAAAGCCGTGGGGCGATTCATGCAGCTCCATCCGTCTGTCGTACACGAGTCCAACTCTGAACCGTGGGAGGGTGTCGTGCACAGACTGGTGCGAGCCGACGAGGTCCTGAGGCTCCATACTCAACCACTTGTCGATCTTCTTACTGTCTCTCGTCGAAGGGCTGGTGCGCGTGCCAGCAGCCTGAGGCTTGACGGCTGGGCTTCCGTTTGGTGCGGAGGCGACGGAGACGTTGATGACTTCGAGCTTGTCGGGGCGAACGAGATGGCCGTGAAGGGGTTGGCAATCAAAGAGCCTCCTCCCCTTCACTGTCCCGTCATTCTTCCCCACGGCCTCTCGGTACCTCACGCCCACCCAGAAGCCTATCGGGAGATTCTCTACCTCGCCGATGAAAGCTACCTCACCCTCCTTGCCCTCCACGCGGCAAAGCTGCCCCACACGCAGCTTGGCCGCTGCACTTGCGAACTCAGCAAGAGCTTGGCTTGAAAGCTGCTTCTTAGCCATCATGTGCGCCCGCACTCGCTCCTCCTTCCATGCAGCGACAGACGCATGCGCGTTTGGCTTCAGACCATCATCATCGCCTCCTCTGATATTCTCGTTCACAACCGCAAGCTCCCTCATGGCGAGCTTGTCCTCGCCGTCGTTTCCTTGCATGACTCTCTCGCCCGCTGGCTCAGCTCATCTGCAAGAGAGGAAATCAGCGCTGCCTTTACTCATTCAACTTGTCGAGCGAATGAAAGCTGGTGATCACCCTCCTCCTTCCTCAACCTTCTCCAGCAGCACCTCGAAACACTATCTCTCCTTCCTTTCCTTCCTCCCCTCCCTCTCCTTCCTCTCCCTGCCGGATGTACCTGCTGTACCTGCTGTACCTGCTCATGACTGCTGTACCTGCTGTACCTGCTCATGACTGCTGTACCTGCTGTACCCGCTCTTCTTGCATCTCTTCTCCTCCCCCCTCCCTGCATCCCGCGCACTCTCCTCGCATCCCGCCTTCCCCACCTCGCCCGCTCCCTTCAGTCCCGGCCTGCCTCAGACCCACCTAGACAAACTCGGATGCGACTGCATGGTTTTTCGGGGAGAGCAAGCAAGGGGTGAAGAGGAGGAGGGGGTCGAGGGAGAGGAGGAGGAGGAGGAGTAGTAGTAGTAGTAGTAGTGAAGAGGAGGAGGAGGAGGAGGAGCCAAGGAGGAGGAGGAGTGAAGAGGAGGAAGGGGTCGAGGGAGAGGAGGAGGAGGAGGAGGAGGAGATGGAAAGGAGGAAGAGAGACTAGTTGAAACCGATAGGCACGATAATGTCGCCTGCCCGATGCCTCCTGGTCCTCGCGATGTTGAGCACCGCGAGCAGTCTTGACCCGTTGAGTCCGCACGCGTGCAATTGCGGGATGTGCGGTAAAGACGCCATGGTGGAGGAGCTTCTCCTTCAGCGGCAGAGGAAGATGATGAAGCTAGAGACTCTCGTGCTGGGATCTTCTCAGGTCCTCGCTGAACGTGACACGGTGGCACTGAGGACTCGATGGGTTGACCTGAACGAGGAGCAGGAAGCAGCCGCTCAGTCTCTTGCTGCCAGCATGCGCGCTGAGTTTCCTGGCTGCCATGACGAGCTCGAGATGCGGCAGGGAGAATGGATCTCCTTCACATGCAGGCTGAGTGACTGCAAAGTGCTAAAAAGCCTGTCAGGCTGCATGTCTGTGGGAGAGAAGTCGAAGTTCAGAGTGCCGAACTCGATAGTGCCGGCGCTCTGCCGGGAGATGTTCGTTCATGGGATGAGTCTGATCAGCTTTCAGAGCGACGGGACTGATTTTCTCCCTTGCTCCACAGACCTCAACCGATTGCTGTCTATGAATAATCAGCCACCAGCCTCTCTGGTACAGCAGGGAGCCGCGTGTCTAGAGGTGTTTGTGATCTGCAGAGACATGAGTCCTGTGAGGCATCTCTGTGATGTCTACTGGAAGAGCTTGTCGGTTGTAAGAAACAACTCAGCGAACAGCACCGAGGACAAGGGAAAAGTGGCCAAGATCAGGTGATAAGGCTCTAGTAAGAGGTAGTTGCGAGACTGACCGGAAGGAAGCCCGAGGCCTGGGGATGAGGTGGAGATCGCCTGGCAAGCCTTCGAAGAGCGCACAGGAAAGCAGCAGGAGACAACTTCTGGCTTCATCTCCCTCAGGGTCCCAGGCAAGTCCTCCTCCTCCAACCTCCTCCTCCTCCAACCTCCTCCAACCTCCTCCAACCTCCTCCAACCTCCTCCTCCTCCTCCTCCTCCTCCTCCTCCTCCTCCTCCCACTCCTCCTCCTCTTCGCCAGATCCTGACGGGGCAGCAGGGACTCAGAACCCCCTGCTCTCAAACGAGGACAACATCAAACTAGCAATGCGGAAGAGAAGAGGAGATGAGCAGCAGATGAAGCTCCCAATGGGTGTCTGGGTGGCTGTTGTGTCCCTCATGGGGGAGGGAACTTCGGTCAGCATCTTCGCCCTGCCCTCCTGTTACTTACCTCCATGAAAGATCGAATGCCTTTGCCCGACCGACACCCAGCAAGGAACTTTCAAGACGTCTTCCTCCTCCAGTCTTCCTCACAGTGTTCCACAGCGTAAGAACTAATTTTGCGCTATAGCAGCAAGTTGACGTTTCCGCGCAGCAGAGAACTTCACGAGATACCGCGTGCGGCTCCTTTCATGGAGTGAAGTGTCGGTCATGAGACTCGAGGAACGGACGTTCAACCATGCAAGGAGGAGGAGGAGGAGGTTAGCGATCGTAAAACGCGTGACCCATCAGGCAATGGACTTTAAGACAACGTTCAATGACGATGGAACTTGGTCCTCTTACATCAATCCCCATCCTCCCCCTGCTGATTTATCGCCCCCACCGCTCTCCATTCCCTCCTCCCACTTCTTCCTCTACTTTCCTCCCCCTCATTATCACCCTGTTGGATGTCTCATACAGATGCAGGATACGTGCACAGATTGAAAGTCGGATAGGATTCCAGCCAGCAAATCAAGATCCCCGAAGGTGAATCTGTTTGCTTCTTTCACGTTGCTAAGTCGAAACAAGTATCCTTCAGGGCCCCGACCCCCTCGCCACCTCCACGGTGCCTCTTCCGAGCGCTCTGCGTTCGTTCTTTGACCTTGGAGACCAGGTGATCAGTGCGTGGAAGGAGAAGACTTTCTTTGTTGGAGACGGAAGTTTGCCGTACGAGGTTGAGAGGGATATCCAATCCCATGACTCTCCTCTGATTTCTCCGGCAGTTGTGCGAATGTCTACAAGAAATGATGATCGGAGACGTTTACGTCGTAGCCATTCCCTCTCGCGCTCTCGACGACAGTGATCATTTCTCTCCTCCTCCTCGTCCCTTGACCGTTCTGCAGAATTTCTCTCTTGGAGCACGAGCATCAAGGATTACAGAATCTTAAAAGCTTGCTTGCTTGACGACAAGAACCTGGGTGCGAATGTACATAGCGAACCGAGCAGTGGCAACGACGAAGTGGATCAGGATGAGGAGGAAGAGGAGAGGGAAGAGCCAGAAGAGGAGCTCGAGCATTTTCTTCTCTACAAAGTGAAAATCCTCGAAGCCATTCCTTCGTTCCAGCTCCCACCTCAAGGTCCTCACCCTCCCCAGCAATGGTCCATCTGACAAGGGGTCTGCAGAGCTTCTGCTTCAAGCCAAGAATCGAATCGCAAGGTCTCGTGGCGGTGTCGGGAGTTTGTGCCTGACTGGCCAAGCAGGGGGGTGCAAGCACGCAGCCTCCAGCATCTGGAAGGTGATCCGAGGAAGGAGGGAGGGGGGAAGAGAAAGAAGAGAGGAGAGAAATAGAGGAGGGAAAGATGGGGGGAAAGAGGAAGGAGAGAGGAAGGAGAGAGGAAGGAGAGAGGATGGAGAGAGGATGGAAACAGAGGAAGGGGGGGGGGGGGGAGAGAAGAGAGTGACATTGTTTGAAGCTGCGGTCGACTTCTTCCTAAAGTCTCACAAGCTTCTGTCCTCAGCAGCGGTGACATGGGTATACGAGTTGCTGTGCTTGCTGACCGCTGGTGACTTCATGCGCAGTCGTCAGTGGATGGGGAAGAGCTCAGGTGCAGGGAGAGGAGAGGAGGGGGGTCCGGCAAGTGACTCGTCAGCAGCACCACCCGATTCTCGCTCATGGCCGAAACTTGCCTCGGAGTTTCCAGCTGCCTGCTCAAGCTCGGAAGGCAGCTGGGCAGGAACTTTATCCCTCTGGTCCGCGACTACTGCAAGCAAGGGCTCGCGTCTCTAGAGACGACCCTCGACGATAGCAACACACAGAGAGTGCGCAAGGAGCTGGTTATGACTCTTTCTTCCTGTCGGTAGCTGCACCCTGTGCCGGGCTGCTGATGGAGGGGAACACAACCTTCCTCCGAGGGTCGTAGCGGTATGGAGAGTCGGGACGACACTTTCTCGCACCTGTAGCAGCTGCTGGAGCTGCTGCTGGAACAGGGGGTGGGTCGGGGCTGATGGCAGGAAGAGGCTGCTCTGCCCCCTTGCTCGTGCGGTTTTTCAGCTGAACTGTGCCGTCAGAGGTGAAGACTTGCTCTGCCGTGTTGTGCTGGCACTCAAACTCCTCCAGCAGCGCCGTTGCCTCCTCCATCACCACCAGCCCCCTGCCGTTGGCTCGAGAGGCCCCGAAGGAAAGTTGAGCTCGAGCTTGTTGGGACAACAGGATCCCTGACCCTCCGTTGCCCTCGAACGAGCAGAAGCGAGCTTGCATGCTTGCTCCCTCAGTCACGGCGAGCCCGCTGCTCTCGTTGTCATGTACTCTCATGTCTGAACATGTCACAACTGTTCCGCTCCCTTTCACCGTCAACCCGTTCCTGCCATTGCGCCGCACGTAGCTCTTCCTGCCTCCCTCCGCCCCCCACAGGGTCACTGCTGCCCCGTCCTCCACGCTCACTCCGTCCTCCCCGTTAGCATGGATCACCTGCAGGCTGGTGAGAGCAGCAGGAGTCACCCCATCCTCACCGTCTCCGACGCTCGCAGCGTCGTTCCGCTCCCCCTCGCCCGAACTCCAGCAGCACGGTTGAGGAGCACATCGCAGCTGTCCAGCTGCACTCCAGCTCCATCACAGACGAGGACGCCGTCGGTCGCGTTCTCCCGGATGATGGAGGACCGGAGAGACATCCGGCTCCGCTTCTCCTCACACACCACCCCCTCCTGCACCTCACGATCTTGCAGCCCGTCAGCACTGCCGACCCCCGCGCTCCCACCGTCAGCCCGTCCTCCATGCACTCGCAGATGATGCTCCCCACCGCCTCCATGGTCCCCCCCACCAGCACGAGCCCGCAGCTACGACTCTGCTCCGAATCAGCTGGGGAGAGAAGGTGAAGAGGATATCCCACCTTGCTGACAGAGCTGTCCTTCAGTCTGAGGTCTCCAAAGCTCTTCAAGCAGCTCGACTTCAGCTCGGAGTTGACAAGCTGCGGCAGCACGTCACTTGAAGCGGACAAGTGCAGGAGGGACCTCAAGAGAAGCGCCGGCGAGGACGCAGAGAGTGAGGTCTTGCGAGGAGAGGATGCAAGAGGTCAGCTGGAGCTGCTGCTGGGCCTCGCAGATGTTCACTTGTTGCAGTCACAAAGGTCAGTGGGAGCAGGCGACTTCGTTCAGCTACCTTGTGCCCCGTGCGCCTCTCCCCCTTGAACGTCGACAGTGACACCCACGAGCGATAAGTTGAGACTCTTGCCGTCAGGTCGTCAGCAGAGCATGTCAGCATCTGCTCGCTCACCAGGTCTCGGCACGAGAGCACGCAATCAAGGGAAGTACATCCGTAGGCTGATACTATGGAGATGTGTTTCATCTCCTTCAGCGGGGTTCCTGATGTGTGATGGAGGTGAGAACGGCAGAGAAGCTGAGTGTTTTCAACCTGTCAGCTCGTATCGACCTCGGCCAATGATAACAGCGTCGTGGTCTTGTGCTTGCTCCAGCAAGGAGTTGATGACAAACACGTCTTCATCGACTTCGAACATGGTGTAGTGGAAGGTCTGAAGGAGGTCGATGAAAGCCTGAGAATCCTTGACTTGACCGTCTAGTTCAGCTTGTTTCACTTCTCTCGCTCTGTCTCTTCCATCTCTCACGATGATGGCTCTTCCTGTCAATCTGTTCTCAACCATCTGCTCTATGCTGAAGTCTCCGGGAATGCTGACGTCATCAGCTGCTAGCGATGTGCCTGGCTGATCTTGTTGGGGTTTGGTGTAGGCGATCATACCCTTCTCCCTCATGATCTTCTTCCTCTGCATCGACCCTCTTCGCTTCAGCAGCGACGAGTAGCAGAAGTGAGAAAACTCCTCCATGCTCAGAACTCCATCTTCGTCAACGTCGTTCTGTCGGATCATGGCATACACCTCCCCCTCCATCTTCTTCATCCCCAGCACCTCCATGGCCTCGCTCAGCTCCGCAACCCCAACACGCCCTGACCCGTCAACGTCCATCTTCTCGAAGATCTCCTGGATTGCTCGGACGAGCTCGTCTCCTGTCAACCCGTCGATCTTCTGCGTGAATAGCACAGACGCCTTGGAGATGCCGGCCCAGGAGCGGAAGGTCAACCCCAGCTGAAACTTTGGGGAGAAGAACGAGCTGGCGATCTTCATGTTCGGCTGGCTGTGCTGAGCGATGTCTTCGTTGACGCTCCCAAAGATAGCGCAGTTGACAACCTTTATCACTGCGGCGTCTTGCGACCACACCCCGTAGCCGTTGCCCTTGACTGTAGAGTGACTGACGTGAACGGAGGTCTCGCGCTCCTTCAAGTCCTTGTCTTGGATCCCGATGGCTAAGATCCCGATGCTCTCGTTGTCCAGTACCGCACACTTGCGGAGCTCGACGCTGCTGCCGTTGAGGATCCAGAGCCCGTTCTTCTTGCTCTGCGTCACTTTGGTCTGCAGCATCGACAAGCTTGTCTGGTAGTCGTTCACACTCACTCCGCTCCATCTCGATCGCGATATCATGCTGCCTTCCACCTTCACCTGCGCTCCCTTGCCGACTACAAGTCCTCTCTGACCGCTCTCGGTGACTTCGAGGGCGATCCCGAGGAAAGAGACGCCTCCTCCCTTCACGTCTACTCCATCCTTGGCACACTCACACACCTTCACCTCAGCAAGTTCTACTCTCCCCTGCTCCATCACAAGGACCCCGTTTCCTCCGCATCCTCTTACTTGACTTGCCTTCATCATCAGCGCTGCCCCTTCCCCCTCGCCCTTCACCACAACTCCGTTGCCTGCCTCCGTCGTGACATCTACATGCACCAGCTCCATCCTACCGCCCTCGACCTTAGCGCACTGGGGAGGCCATTGGAACGAGTCGTTGCGTCCCAGCAGCTCTAGTATGATGCTCTCGACCCGGCTGGACCCCCGCAGGCAGCAGAACACAGAGTCTATCATGCTCCCTCGCACTTGAGCCTGTTCGGGGTATGCGACGCCCATTCCTCCTCCTCCGAACCCTCCGCTCGCCCGGGGGAGCTCAGCAGGCAGTCTGCTCCCCTTCATGCTCTCGAGGGTCTGCTTGATCCCGCTGCCTCCTCCTGGCAGAGACCCCGAGAGCTTCTCCAAGCAGAACTTGAACAGCTTCTCCTCCGAGGGCCTCGATGCCGCCGCTGCGTTGAAGTAGCACGAGCTCACTGGTCTCGAGCTCCCCGACGCTCCGTCTCTCCCTCCCACTCCTGCATTCTCACCCAGCCCGCTGCTGCCATGCTCCTCTAAGCTTGCGTCCCTCCCATCACTTCCTGGCGTTGTTATCGAGTCTGTTGCTCCTCCACCTCCCCCAGCCGCCACCAACACCGCTCCGCTCGAGAGCTCCTTCTTGAACACGAAAGTCCCTCCTGCTCCGCCCGAGCAGCTCCCCATGCTGTCAGACAAGGTAGAAGAAGTGCCTCCTACCAGCAGGAGCACCCTCTCCCCCTCCTCCAGGTGGAACTGCGCCTCTATCACCGCCCCTGTCCCTCCCTTGCGATCTCCGGCCCCTGCTGCTCCTGCCCCTGCAACTCGCAAAGCATACGTGCTCTTGATTGGAACCGTCCACAGCTCGACCCTGCCGCTGTACTTGAAGAGCCACTCGTCCTCCAAGATAACGTCCAAGATCCTCACAAACCCATTCCCTTCGTTTCCCCGCAGCTCTACCCTCCCCTTCACAGTCTGATACCCAACGTACTTCGACACGCTCTTTGCTAGATTGCTTACAAAGCTTCCTCCTCCGCCGCCTCCTCCTCCTCCACGACCTCCATACCCACCACCTCCTCCCCCCGACCATCCTCCCCCACCTCCTGCAGCGTAGTTGATCTCGGGGCGAAACACCAGATCCTTCTGCAGGAGCGTGTGAGCAGGGGATGGAACGAGATCACAAAAGCTCTGCTACCTCCGTCACAAACGGCTCGCTGATCTCTTGGATCCCTCGCTTCACTATGATCACGTCCCCGTCATGCAGCTGCTGGGGTCCTCCTGGACTCCCTCGCAACGACGAGGGGGCTGAGAATCCGAGGCTACTGAGAGCGATGCCGTACTTGTGGCTCAACACGTGCGGCTGTTTGAAGAAGAGCACAAAGGGACAGGCTTTCAGTCTTGCCTTCTCGAGCGACCTTGTGTTGATGGCATTGCCAAGCTCTCTCGAGTATTCTTCTACAGTGGAGGAAATCTTCTGCAGCTCTACTCTCTCCCTCTCCAACATCCCGTTGAGCTCCTTCCATGACGTGGCTGAGAACTTTTTCATCACCTGATCATGAAATCCTTGCCGCTGACTGCAGATTGCTGCTCGGAAGAACCCATGTCTCACAGGAGGCTGCTGAGCGTTGGGAACATACCTGACTCCCTCCTTCTGCTCTTCCTTCTCCTCCTCCTCCTTCCCCTGATCATTCTCCTTTCTTCTTGGATCATGTCGCTTCATACCTCAACGACCAATCGGATCAAGATGGAAGCACGTGATGCGTTCCCCCACTTCGAACAGCAGTAGCTTCTACTTTCTCTCTGATTTACTTGCTGCCTCCTTCCTGCTCCCATCCAGCCATCCTGGTCCTCTACAGCTCCTATCGAGCCATCCTCGTGCGCAGCAGTTCCATTCTCGACATTCTCCCTCCTCTGTCTCCCGTTCTTCGTCTCCTTCCGTCACCTCGTTTCCTCTCTCCATCCTGCCTCTTGTGCCCTCCCCCTCCCCCCTGCCAAATTGTCCTGGGCCTACCAAGGAATTTGATCTCCTACCCCGCCCATATGAAATTGTTTGCCCTCACTCCCTCCACCTCTCCCTTCACGCATGATCATACTCTATTCCTCCTTCGCTTTCGTCTCAGCATGCTTTCCCCTTCTCCCCCTCAACTGCATCTCAACCTGGTTCCTCCCCTCCTCCTTACTCCCTGCACTTCCTCATCGGAACAGCCTTTCATCTCCCTGCTGCAATCTCTCGACAGGGACTGGGCTCTTTTGGCCCCTTGTCGTATCAGAGAAGAGCATTTACTTCTTAGGTCTAGTGGAATAGACGAGCTTGGGAATGACAGGCTCTGCACGCAAACTCACTCACGAGACTGCCACAACTCATGACAAGCTCACCTGCTTGCTTGGCGGTGGCGGTGGCAGTAGCAGCAGCCGCAGGCATCTTGGGGAAACCCAGCAGCGATTTCATGAAAGGCACCTTGAGCAAGAGCACCTGAACATTCAGCCATCAGTCAACGGACAAGGCCAGGTGGCAGGAGGCACCTGGAGCAGGGAGAAAACGTTGGAAGGGATCCAGTAGAGGAAGACTCCGTTGGGGATTCCTGACATGATTACGAGAGGAACCATTGCAACCTGAGCGCAATGACATCAGGTAAGCAGGTCCAGCTGAACTGCTGCTCTCACCGCAAACCCACGCATCGCGAACTTCATGGTGGACTGCTGGTCTTTCATGGCCTGCCCGGTCTCACCTCCGAGCTCGATGGTCGCCAGCATCGACAAGCTGGCGATGACCGGCAGCATGTATGTCGGGTCGACGATGGACAAATCCTGAAACCACATAGTCCCCCCGTCCTTGAATGAAGGGTAAGTTGTGGCCATGTGCCTTAGGGCAAAGAAGAAGCTGACGAAGATCGGCCCCTGACTTACTCGTCACCATCACGTAGACATCCCCCCCAACAAGTCAACCTGTACCGCCAGACCGATGAACGATTTCCAGGGGTTGCAGTGATGCTTTGCGAACAGCTCCTTGAGCTGCTTCTGATAGACGTCAGTCGCCCTGGGAGGAGCAGAGTATCCGCCAAGCTTGCGCCAGTTGTTGGTGATCACCTCCATCTCAGGTTTAACAAGATTCAGACGAGCAATGTTCTTCATCTGTCACAAGTCTCAACGAGAGCAAGACCAGGAGCTGGACCAAGGGCCGGCAATCAGGCCAAGCAAGGGGAGAGGGGAAGCGGGCAGGCAGCAGGAGCAGGGGGGAGCCAGGAGGAAGGAGGATGGCAGCACCTGATAGACCACGACAGGAAAGAGGAGAAGCCTAAGGGAGAGAGTGATAGCACCGATGGACATCCACCACTCCAAGCCGAAGTAACCATGAATCGCTACGATGGCTGCCTCGGCCAGGGCCGGGGGAGACCATCCCATGGGCGAGGGGTCGGAGATCCCCTCCACGACATCGGCGACAGTCACCATGGCATGCGGAGAGGCTTCAGACATGTCAGAAAGAGGAGAGGAGCTGCTCGAGCTCGTTGACGACATCATCCGTGCACCCGGCGCGCTCGCACCAACCAGCATCAACCTCCTTGGCACGACGGCTCCCAGCTGAGCATGCGAGGATGCGCAAACTGCATGCGTCGTGGGTGTTGGAAGCTGGATGTGCAAGGCTCGAGCCGGTGCCGATTGTGCGGGCCTTGAACTCTCAGGACTCCAGGAGACTCGGTTCTGTGACAAGTGGGAGATCGTTGCTGTGAAGGACGGGATCAGCCGCCTCTGGAAACTTTGCTTGTGCAGAAGATGCGAGAAGAGCATCTTCCCCAAAGAAGAGGACATCTCCTTCAATATCTCTCAGCTGCTCCTGTACAAACTTCATCATCGAAGAAACATTCGAAGCAAGATGAAAATATGCTCCAGTACTTGACTATAGTCCCTCACTTCACCTGCCTTTCCTCCTCCTTGAAATCATTCTCCCTTACCGTAACATGAGATTCAACAGCCTTATCTTCCTCTTCCTCTTCCTCTTCCTCTTCACTCCCCTTGCCATCTCCTCCCTCTCTTGATATCGTGCTCATAATCGTCTTTCATTCCTGCCTTCCTCCTCCTCCTCCTCCTCCTCCTCCTCCTCCACCACCACCACCACGACGACTCCCCCCAGCCCCCTCCCTCTTCGTCGTCCTCTCTCTCATCATCTACTGGACCTCTCTGGCTCCACACGTCCTTCCCTTATCTACCCACCCTTCTCCTTCCTCCTTCCTCCACCACATCCTCTGCATCATATGCAGGCATGCGCTTATTTCATCCCCCTCTTACTCGTCTCTCCATTGGCCCCTCATCCCCCCTCAAACGGAACTGAAGACTTGTCCCTCATCCCCGCTCTTGCCCGTTTCAGTTCATCCCCCTCTTACTCAACTTCCCTCACAAACTGAGAAATGGTATCGCCGATGTCCAATGTTGAGGTGGGGTAGTCGATACACCCCACCTTTGAAAGGCTCAAAATGAAGAAAAATATGGGTGGGGGTAGGAAAAGCTTGTATTGATACAGGTGGGTCCATTCAATGTTGATTATAGGGGTGGGGGTAGTAGAGGCTAATTCAGAAGAAGGGTGGGTTAATTCCTTGACTACCCCACAATTGTCAGCAGATTTACTACTTATTCAGGGGGTGGGGTGACCATCTCTCTAAGAAAAGTCACCCCACCCCCTGTAGTTCGTTCCCAGCTAGAATTTAGATAAGGGGTGGTGTATCCTTCCCCACTGAACCCTAGTTCGTTCTTCTTCACCACCTTCACATCCTCTGCTTGGAACTGAGTTTTCCGTCTCTCATCCACCATATCCATCACTCCTCCTCTTGATAAGCCAGAGCCGTGCTGATCTGACACGCTGATCACGTAGGGCCATCTGTTCCAGTGTGCTGTGGTGTCAATCTTGACTTTGCCTTGATCAACAGAAACCAAATGGAGCCACGTTTGAAGCTGCAGCTGGAGATCACAAAAGGTCAAAGACAATCAACATGCGACGTGAAAACATTTTCCATCGACTCTGAAGAATGGCTTGTTGATGCCGTCGATTACTACTTGTAAGTTTCAACGGTTCTTTCGCTTTTGTCTATTCTTTCTTTTCTAATCCGTGTACAGGACGCATTTCTCTCTTTCTGAACGTCGAAACGACCAGAATGTCCTACTGGGCAAGAAAGACGTTGAGAACCTTGCGCATAACAGGCCGAACCTTATGCTGAAAGAGTATGTTACAAGGGAGGGAAAGGAAGCTTGGGGAATCAGCTTCTCGCAGCTCTGTAACTTCACTACAGAAATCTTCTCAGGAGGCCACAGTCACCTGGGAATTCCTCGCAAGTTGACGATGATTGGTCGACAGAGCAAGATGAGGACTATCCTGTCCATAGATACCAGCGACTCGACTCCTGCAAGCGAACTTGAGCCGACCAGAGGAGTCGAGGAAGACCGGAGGAGGAAGAAGCCGAGAACCAAAAGTCCAGACCCTCTCCCATGCAAGCAAGAGGAACACGATGAAAACATTGTCACTGGCAACAGCAGATCGTCACAGGAGAACGAGGCGACCGATCAAGCTGCATCAAGCCCACATTCTCGAAGGACTTCCAGTCGCATCTCAAGCTTGAGAGCCAAAGCTGAAGCACAAGAAGACTCGAGCAGCGTCGTGAGAAAGACGCGATCGTCAGGCAGAATCAGGAACTCTTCTCAACATCTAACGGAGTCGTCAGACTTTCAGCTTGATGGAGAGCACAATGAAGAAGATGACGAAATGGCAGTCGACGGAGACATTTCCAATTGCAACGTCGAAGCCAGCATTGAGGATAATGCCATGGATGATCCGGACTTCAACGCAAGTTCTCCTGATCCTGGGGCAAGGACTCAAAAGCGAAGAAGAACAAGAGTGCAAGAGCCCAACGATGCCGATGCAGACAGCAATGACATCTCGCACGACGAGCTCGGGGATATCAGCGAGGCGCAGCTGACGTTCATGTTGCATTTCGAGCACTACATCAACGAGCTCCAGGAGTTTGAAGCCTCCTCCGACTCTGATTCTCCGATCCCGGACTCATCCTCCGGGCCGCAAGCGAAGTCAAAGTCGTTCAATCCTGAGTACTGGGAGTTGCTCGAATCGCACTGGAACCGTGATGATCGGGATACGATAGCGAAAAAGTTTGACTCCCTAAAAGTCGGGGACATTGTTTCCCTCGACTGGAAGATCAAGAATGGGCAGAAGACCTGGCTCGGCGTAGTGTCTATCAAGAGCGAGAAGGACTTCATGGTGAGGTTTACAGACTCAAAGGACATTCGCTTCGCTCGATCAAGCAAAGCTGAAATCGACGTTATCCGTTTCAACGAGGATGTCTACAAGCAGCGATGCGAGCAGATCATGCACAGCTCAGGAAGCATTCTAGAAAACGCGGACTCATGTCCCATTGCGCATCAGGTAGCGCAGATGGTCACCTCCCGGCTCAAAACAAAAGAGATCCCGGAGGAGCTCAAAGACGAGCTTCACATTTCTGATTGTGACAAGAGGCGGCTGCACCAAGATGAGTATGTCATCGTCTATCAGCCGCATGGTTACAACAAGAACTTCCTCGTGGGCGACTGGCTTCTCGGACGAGTGGAGGAGGTGAGGAGGAGTGCAGGGTATACAACGAGCTTCAGCGTCTTCTTCTACAATCACAGCTACTCCGGCCTCTCCAAGTATGACGCGTCAAGCAGCAGGTCGCTCGTCTTCTCCATCAGATTACCGGATGGTGAGGAGGACGACTAGGAGCGCCACTCGGCACTCTGGCTCGCCGATTCCAGAAGGTTGAGGTGAATGACTTGTCTTGCACGCAAGCATCACCGGCCTGACATGTATTCGCCAGTCCATGAAGATCGTTTTCTTGGATCTAGTCATGATTCGCATCAGTAACAGTGTCTGGGTTGCTATGAGCTGGCCTGGCAACGGAGTTTCGGGTTGAGTCTGGGTAGCTTTGCCTCAAGCTTGTAAACACGACATACGGTAGTACAGCCTGATATAGCACGTCTATCATACGCTATACAGTACTCGACTTTACGGCTGGCCGTAGTCAAAGGCCTCCTGCCCGCGGCCATGGGCCGGCGAAATGCTCCGCCGACCGCCGCGTCCGATCCCGGGTCCGGCGTCACTGAGGGCGCTGGCGCCGGGCCGCAGTGAAACTGTGACTCCGACGGTGATCGAAGGGAAGAGGTGCAAACTCAGTGAGCCTCCCGGCGCTGTCGAACGGCCCGGCCGGAATCGAAACCGCAACGTTCCGCGAGTTCGTCGGAGCTCCGAAGGCCCGAAGAGGCTCAAAGGCTACCGACTGGCAACAGAGAGGTCTTGTACCCCTTCTAATCCCGCGCGAGGTACCCCTCCCCCAAGTTACTGAAGTGATCTCGTGATTACAGGGACCGTGACCTCAACACTGCACCTCTGAGGCCGGCCTGTCATCCGCTACTGTAAGTTTTAGCCAAATACATCCGAAAAAAGAACTATATTGCCCAGAAAAAACAAACCACCCCACCCTTCCGCTCCCACGAAAACGATCAGTGGTAAAAAACGTGTTCAAATTTCCAGCTTGCAGTACCGGGTGGTTAATCACTGAATCCTGGGCCAGGGTGGGGTGGGGTACACATCTCATGTCAAAGACACAACCAGGGGTGATAGCTCCTGTCCTTTGCCTGCCCCCCGTACGGCCCCTCCCTCCCACTCCTTCCTCCTCCCGCTCGCTCCTCGCACAGCCCTTGTTCCTATCTCGCTCCCCGTCATCGTCCCCTCGCTCTGACTCATGGTCCGACCCTCTGCCACCCCAGAATCCAGGAACGTCGGCGTCTGCTTCGCCCAAGTCGTGAGTGAGTCCTCGTGTCCCTTCACTTCCATGACAGAGCTCACGCGCAGGTCGCTCGGGTCGTCCCCACTCTCCGGCATCTCTTCATCCCTCGCCGGGGACGCCTCTCCTTGTACGAGGGCCTCAAGGAGTGCATTCCTGCTGCTGTGCGCAGCAAGGAGCAGTCAGCAAGGTGCTTCGGGCTGAGCGAGGTGGAGTTCAACAAGGCGCTGGAGAGGAGCGGGTTCAAGAAGCTACGCGACCGCTGCCATGTCCCCGTCGGAGTGAAGGAGCTGGACTTTGCCAAGGGCCCCACCGCCCGCTATGTCTTCTGCAACCGACGCTGGAGAAACCCCGACGATCCCCTGGAACTGGAGGAGCTCCGCCAAGGCTGGCTGAAGCTCCGTGAGTGCGTGTGGATATTGGGAGCTGACCTGAGCTTCGAGAGCCTCGTGCAGTGCTGCCGGGTCAGATACGCGCAGTGGGCAAGGATGACGACCAACTGGAACAAGAGCCCCCGACGGGTCGGTCGTACCAAGCCCCCCCCTGCGCCCAGCAACGCCCCACGGGGATCAGCGACCCTCCATGACGCGCGTGCTCTATCATCATCGTTAGACCCTCAGGGGGCGCACAAGCGCTCAGACAAGCATGGTGGTGGAGGGTCAGGGGAGAGGCCGGCAAGTGAGCCAAGCTGTGGAGAAGACGGGAGGGAGGTGGACGAGTGGTTTGACCAGATTCTTGTTTGTGTGAACTGGGAGCTGCCAGAGGAGGTGGTTAGCCTGCCGAGCAACGGAGCTCGAAGTTGGTCGCCTGCAGCTTGAGTGTAGCAGCGCTTGTCTGTCTGCAAAGGCAGCCGATGTAAGAGTTTTGAGTATGGAAGGTAAAGGTAAAGGAAACGACGGGATGAGTTTGACTGCTGCCCAATTCGATTCTTCCAGTGCCGACTCTTGCCCTGTGATCGACCGGTGCTCCCCATGATCGCTGATGTCACACTGAGTCCCTTCAGCCAAGTGTCACTATGACGCGGGGACATCATCATTGACCATGCGGCTCTAGAAGAACCAAGTCGCAAGGATGCCATCTTGGAACACAGAGATGTCGTCCGAGGACGATCTCATACATCTCATGTCACCCGTAGCGAACATCCACACCCTAACAGAGCGAACCCGCCTCAGAGAGGACCCACTCAAGATTTCTGGGGATAGCAAGCGAAGCTAGGCTTACCCTAGACCCTCGTCAAGGTCAGTGACGGCTAGACCTGACCTCTGACCGCTGAGTCACTACCGCCAACAAAGACAACCTTGGTCAGGGGATCGGAGAGACATCTCAGTAGTCGTCTGGGTCGAGGCATAGGATGCCCCTTGTCTCCTTCATCTATCATAATAGACTTCTTGAAGGTACTGTACGGTCAAGTTTCAGCTCTCGGGCCGGCGCCAGCCGCGAGCGACAGGGCACGGTGGGGCCGCAAGTCAGCAGCGGACTGAGACTGAAGTACTCGGAACAAGACGGTGCCTTGAGGTAAGACTGGAGCCGCTAGCATCTCAGAGGCACGGAAGTGATGACGTCATAGCATGCGAAGCATCGCCTGGTGGAGCTCGACCAAGGCCAGGGTGTCAAGCTTGCAGTAGTTGAGGAGGTTTTGACGGAGGACCTGAGCCTGCAGGAGGTAAGAAAGGAGAAGGGGAGAGGAGAGCAGAGGAGAGTAGAGGAGAGAGGAGGGGAGGGGAGGGAAGAAGGAAGCATAGGAGAAGAATGGGATGGGGAGGAGATTAAAGCGACGGGGAGGACAGAGATGCGTTACCTGTTGAGGGTCTGCAACTTTCATCGCCTCGAACTTGACAGCAGCAAGTCTGCCGTTGTTGATCGGAAGGTCCTGGGAGGAGGAAGGTGAGAATAGTGAAGGAGCCGGGCAGAGGATACAAGGGCACGGGTAAGGGGAGAGGAGAGAGGAGAGAGGAGAGAGGAGAGAGGGAAGGGGAGAGAGGAGGAGAGACAGCAGAGGGGGGAAGGAGGGAGGGAACAACCTTGTAGGCAGTCCGATATGCAGGGACAAGAGCAGGAAGAACGTCCTTGATCGAATGTGAACCTCTCAGGTCAGGATGGTAAATCGTCTCCTTAGCCAACTAGAAGATAGGATAAGGAAACGAAAGAATCTCATACCAACAAACCTTGCAGAAATCGATCATGCGAGCGTTCACAGCGTCGATCTGTGAGGAGAGGTCAACAAGAGAAACGCTATCTTGCTCTCCGCACCCTGGCAGCGTACGCAGGGAAGTCGGCTTTGAATTTCTGAGATAGAAACCCTTGAGGTGCCGAAGATCACAGCAGGAGAGGGAGGACAGAGGTAGCAAGGAGAGGAAGGGGAACGAGGACGAAGACGCAAGGGAGGCATCACATTCATCTGGGTCGTTTCATACGAATAGTAGATGACGATCGAACCCTCCTCCTCTAGAGCCTCCAGCAAGTGCTGCAGGAGGTGCTCCCGCCAGTCGATGCTGAAGGCATGCGTCAGAGGTGGATAGGGAGGTGAGGAGATGGAGGACTTTGGATCAGCGAGGTACTCGAGATGTTGTATCTCCCCTTGAGAAGTTTTGCGATGTAGAGAATACTGAAAGACCTGTGGGATGATGAGCACGGCAAGAGAACACAAGAGTGGATCTGATGGGAACCATCGTCTTCAGCGGCCCGGTGCCTTCGATCCTGAAGAAAGGAGGATGAGAAGGAGTCATGAGGAAGGGAGAGGGAATTGGAGAGAGAAGGAGGATAGGGAGAGGGAGAGGGAGAGGGAGAGGGAGAGGGAGAGGGAGAGGGAGAGGGAGAGGGAGAGGAGCAACGAGGGAGGCGGAGGGAGGAGAGTGCTTTCCATGGGAAGACTGGGGCAATTGTCTCGAAGTCCAGATAGAAACAAGGATAGACGATGGCGTTGAGCGTCTGCTCACAATGCTCGTTCAGCAAGAAAGCGGGAAAACGAGACGGCGAGCATAGGAGATGGTGAATTTGGTGATGATGGTGATGATGATGATGGTGATGATCTCCACGACGATGACGACAAAGGAGGAGGATGAAGAGAAGCAGGGAGAGGAGAAGGAGTACTTACTTCGCCAAGTTTTTGATGGTTGATGTAGGGTATGCTGCTGTTGACGCTTTGGCGAATGATCTCATGTGCAGGAGACAACTCAACAGTGCCGGGGAGTTCCTCGATCTGACGGGATGACGGGAGGCCATAAGTGTTCTAGCAAGCACGTGGTCCTTCACCTCTTTTGTGATTCGAGCCAGTTCTCTTAGCTTTTGACCTTGGATCCTATGGAAGAGACGAAGTCAGGAACACGATAAGAGCAAACTCACAACAAACCCCTTGAGCTCCCAGATGGAATGGCGCAGATCTCTGGTATGGCTGCACAGAGTCAAAAGGACGAGGACGAGGACGAGGACGAGGTCGAGGTCGAGGACGAGGTCGAGGTCGAGGACGAGGACGAGGACGAGGACGAGGACAAGGACGAGGACGAGGACGAGGACGAGGACGAGGACGAGGACGAGGACGAGGACGAGGACGAGGACGAGGACGAGGACGAGGACGAGGAGGTCGTGGAGAACAATTAAGAAGACAAGGAAGAGATGTAGGAGGATAGAAAAGGCGAGAAGGAGGACGAGGACTAGGGCGGGGATAAGGGGCAGAGATCAGTGTGACATTACCAACTCTCAAAGAATTGACATTTCTTGCAAGATGTTTCCACGATCACCGGAGGAGGATCATCCTGAGAAGTGACCAGCAGGACGTGTGCGACGGATTTTGACTCCTCGCTGCTGCCTTCGAGCATCTGATGAGGACGGCAGAAGTTGGAAAGGTCTCTGTCACAAATCTTGCTACCAACGTTCTCCTCCCCTCTACCTGCAAGCTTCCGCCCTGCCCGAAGATCTGGGCAGAGACATCCTCCCTCTTGAAACTTGTGAAGAAAGTCAGAGAGAAGTTTCCCCTGTCTTTCAACTGCACAATCTTGATGCTTCCATCCCTTTGCGAAACTGCGCGTTCCCGTACACCGTCGCAGCCTAAACTCCTTTCAGTCTCAAGCTAGGCAAGAGACAGGTTCATAAACACCTTGGTAACTCGAACTCCGCACTTCTTGACAACATACACTGAGAACGCAAGGGCAAAATGCTTAGAATCCCTTGTCTCCCAACTTCAGCTATTTGCAAGGGAAGCAGGACGATCACCTGAGAGAAAATTTTTCTGTGTTGATTTTCACTGCTCCCCATTCCTCTGCATAAAGACAGGAAACTTATGAGCTAGCCAGACCCTTCAACGAGCCTCTCCTCACCATTGCCTAAGTACTCCAGCATGTCTACTCGTGCTCTGACTTCTTCGTTCATGAAGAGACCATGAAAGATTGCCGGCCGCTCACCATCCTCGCAGTCTAGGAAACTTCTCCCGCGGTTCTCCTCCTGGATCCTATGGAGCGTGGCCATGGTGGCATCAAGAAGACTAACGGATCTGCTTGGCTCCGGCTTCTCGCTCCTGGACGTGTTGTCCTCAGAAACTCAGGTGCCTCTTATGATCGTTTGTTACCTGGGGTGGAGAAGTTCCCTGTACATTTCATGCCGTCTCGTCTCTTGTTCATACTTCCACTTCTCTTCTTCTGTGGATTCTTCGAGCCCGTAGTGCCGTATGTTCCATCCTTTCCTCTCGCATTCTACGGCGGTCGATTTGTACAGGCTGTAGTTGATAGGAAACGAGGCCGTTGGCTCCTCTACCGAGAGGTCGTGGAGGAAGAAAGAAGCATCTTGAGGCTGACTATCGGTTGTCTGATCCAGCACTGATCGATCATGGTCGTTCGCATCCTCGATCTCGCTCTCATCTCCCAAGTGCAGTGATCCAAGGATCTCCCCTAGAGAATCTTCTTCCCCTCCTCCTTCGACCGGATCCATTGCACGCGGCGGGCTTCCAAGCTGCTCCACAATCTCTCCTCCTCTCTCAATCCTGACTGTAACGCTGGTTAGTCCGCCTCCCTCCCGCGTCTCCTCTCACCTCCTCCTCCTTCCCTCCCTTTGCGCACCTCCTCCAGCTGACCTCAAAACTTGAGCAGATCTTAAAAATAGTAGGACGCCTTCCCTAAGGCATGTCTTGACAGGGTCCTGATCCTGGCAATTGTCTTCAATATCACCAGAGTCAGACTCATGCTGATCAAGATGACCGTCGACATCATGATCATCGTCAGATCCAACACAAGACTAGGGGACAATGGCAACTGTCCAGCATCGGAGACAAGATTGCGGAGCACGTCATCAGATGCTGTCTGTCGCTTGACATCTGGACGACAGCCAGTGAAAGGAAAGGTTTTACTGTTAAATCACAAGAGTTGAAGGTACTTTGAATCACTGAGAAACATAAAATTCATCAATGTGCAAATGGATGCTGAATCCACTGCTCGTTCCTCACTGTTCTCAATCTCTTCAGATCAAAACTTCGTCCACCTCTGCCGTCTCTTCATCGCTCTCTTCCAACCTTCGTCGCTTGATCGTCTGCTTGCTTTCCACTTCCACAACTTGATGCTCTTCTTCTCCTTCTGATCCTTCTCGCTCCTCCTCCTCCTCCTCCTCCTCCTCGGATTCAAGTTGATCTCTTACCCTCCTCACTTCTCTCTTCTGTACTTCTTCGCCATTTCCTGAAGCAGAATCGCTGTCACGGTCTGACCCCTCCTCCTCGGAATCGCTGTGCCGCTGCAGACGGAGCTTCTTTCTGTCAGTCGATGTTGAGACTACAGCGGGCTGAGCCTGAAAGAAGGAGTTGATCCCCTTCTGGTTGGCCGTGCGGTCGAAGGGCTTCGTGGGGGGAGTCTTCTTGTTGGTGCTGGTCCGGTTCTTCGGAGTTCGGGCCAGTGATTCACCCGCGGGTTCTTGATGATTTGACTCCTTTGATTCCTTCTTTGTCGGGCGACTTTCTTTCCTCTTCTTCTTCTTCCTGACAGCGCTGGTGTCATCTGATCGCAGAGAACTCTGTATCTCCTCGATTTCAAGAGCACAAAGCTCCAGCTCTTTGATCGACGGATCGTAAGAGTAAAAGGTGAAGTCTGACGCAAAGCATCCAGGATTTGCAACCTGAGTAGACTTGAAGGTGATGGTATAAGCGCTGGCTTTGTCACCCAGAATCAAGACATTCGGGAGAGGGTACATCCTTAAGGCATGATCGTAGTTCCAGTCGATGGGCGCTACATGAAGAGGAAGGGGGCAGAGGTGGCCCTGGCACAGGATTGTCTTCGCCGCGTGCTCGTAGACTGACTTCTCGGTATTGGAAGGCCGTCTGCTGTACTGACGAAGCTTGGAACAGATGTCGTCACGGTGAAACAAGAGCTCTTGGCTGTAGAATTTGATTCTGCAAGGATCTGATGTGAAGGTGCTGGATGGAACCTTGTTCTTAAAAGGCTCGGTGATGACGGTTGGAAGCGAATTCCTTGGCAAGATCATGCCGTTGCTCCCTAGAACATCGTTGGGACCCGGGATGAAGATGAAGCTTGATTTGTTCTCAAGGTTCTTGAAACTCTGGATTATGGTCCCCAACTAAAAAGAAAGAATCAGTGATGATTTGCAACGGAAAATGTTATGGAACCTGATCAAACAACTCTCGGTGCAACGTGTAATTCTTTGGGGCAGGTTGAGATGTGAAGTTTCCCATGAAAACAAAGATCAAGAACAAATCTGAATCTTCACCAGCTTCTTTGCAGGCTGAGTCGTATCGAAACAACATCATTTTGAGACCGTTCATGACTTTCGCCCTATCCAACCAAACATCGGACAGCACGATCACCCTAGTCCCTGCTTGCTGTGATTCCTCAGCCCTCAGAGATTCCAGTTCCTCGTTCGTGTATGGCTTCCTGTTGGTGGGCACAGATAGCGTGGGGAAAATCCTACATGTTTCTTTGCGATCTTCGGCGGGCGGCATTGCGAGCACCTGGACCACAAAAATGTCTCCCTTCATCATGCCTTGAGCAACCACCACACAGTTCTCAGTAAACAATCCAACAGATGTATCAGCGTTTGAAAGATCAATTTCTATTTCGCCAGTCAAGTCTTCAAGGTGGAATTTTCCTTCTTTGGGCTGTGTCAGAAGTCCCAGTACACAAGAAGACTGTCCAGGGTTTCGACGCAGGCTGGTAATGCTGGAAATCTCCTGATAAGTCGAGTCTTGAACGAACTTCTTCTTTTCGAAGATCTCGTTCCGCATGACGCGCTGGTTTATGATCTCATATCGTTCACGGAAGGCTTGAAGTCGATTGAACTGAACTTTTTTCGCAGAGATGGATCTTGAAGATCCATCTTCGCGAAGGAAGACTTTCCTATCTTTGTCGTACCTAGAGATTGGTGTCTCCTTGTGGTCGATGATTACAATCGCCTCCGTCGATTCTCCGTCCCTTTGCTCGGTTTCATTGATGATCTCCTGGACGAGCTCAGAAGTGATCTTCGACTGTGAAACTGGAGGCATACAGTCAGAAACAAGTTCAACTTTCATGAATCGCCCTCACAGTTGGGATGGTTCTTGATCCGGACGACAAGGTCCTTCAAGCTTGCGTCAAAGTCTTCGGATTTTTGAAGGTACTCCATGACGGAATTCAGTGTGTCCTTCCCCGTCAAGACAAGTCCATTCATCCTGAAGCAGGACCATACCTCCTTTTGCTGCTTTCGAGACATGGCCAGGAATGCTGGTCAAACAAATCCTGATGAAGAACGCCTCAGTCACGTATCAGCAGATCCCGCCCCCCTTGCATTGACACCGCTTCACAGAAATGCTCTTAAAATCTTCGTACAGATATGCTCAGCCATATCCCTATCTTCCATCCTAGATGGATCGATTTCTTTCTGAAAGAATGAAGTTCCTCTCGTACCTGGTCGCTACATCTTTCAAGACCAGCTTAACGTTCTGAACATTTTTGTTGATAGCCTACATCAGTATCCTGGAAATCCTTGCCCCATCACACCTGCTTCCCCCATTGTTTCTCTTCTCTGTCCCCTCATTTCATCCTTCTTTCCCCTTCTTATCTCTTCTCGAATCGAATCGTTTCCCTCTTCCTCGTCTCCTCTCGTCATTCGGTCTCCTCCTTTTCTACCTGCTGCCTGCTGCCTGCTGCCTGCTGCCTGCTGCCTGCTGCCTGCTGCCTGCTGCCTGCTGCCTGCTGCCTGCTGCCTGCTGCCTGCTGCCTGCTGCCTGCTGCCTGCTGCCTCCTACTCCTCCTCCTGTTCCTCCTCCATCTTTCTTCCTCTCTTCTCCGCTGCCTCCCCCTCCCCATTTCATATCGACGGGCATTGCGCGCCAAAATCCCTAGAGTGACCCTCATACAACCAAGCCCACCTCAGTGAAGAATTCCCTACCCTCCTACCCCTACCCCACCCCTTCCTAATCGAGTACCCACCCTTTCTAAATAAACTTATCCACCCCTACTTTTCTAAATAAATTCACCCTACCCCCTACCCCGTGTGCAACTTTTTCAAAAGATCGAGGGATTGACGAGACTTGTCATTCGAAATGGTGAGAAAAACATGGAGGAGGAGGACGAGGAGGACGAGGAGGGCGACGAGGAGGAGGAGGAGGAGGAGGAGGACGATGACGAGGAGGGCGACGAGGAGGAAAAGGAGGACGAGGAGGGCGACGAGGACGAGGACGAGGACGAGGACGAGCAAGTCAAAGAAAAGGTGGAACAACAAACAGGAAGGCAACAGATTGGAGTCAAACAAGATCCTGAGTGTTTAGAGTCCCGGGAGTGGGCTGTGAGAGTCTCTGACTTGCCTCAAGGTTGCAGCCAACATCATCGTCGGGATATTGATCATACTGTTTGCATTGACGTTTGACGCTGTGAGGTCTGAAATGTGGTTTGGAGGGCTCACCGGCCATAGCTCACCTGGGTTCCGAACAGTGCTCCCATTCTTGGTGTTTTCAAAGGATCTGCTCGAATCTTCGCTGCTACTTCAACGTACTTCCGCAAGATCTTCGGTCTCTTGTAGTTTTCCTTCCTTCCTCTCCCTGACCTGCGAGGTGCAAGCAGGAAAGTCTGCGGCCCTGCAGGCAGCGAACAAGAAGGACGATGATGCGAAGGCTCCTCCTCAGGTGTCTCAGTGTGCTCGCGCTGTCGGCCGGTAGTTCTGATAGGAGCGATGCAAGCTGTCGGAAGAGATCAAGGAAGAAGTCGCCAAGCTGGTCCGCACGATGATGACAAGGGCGGGGAGCGAGAATGCCGCAGAGGTCGCAACGCATCGATTTTCGTCGCAGACAGGCTGACAGACTGTTGAAGAATGCTCGGAATGACCTGCCCCCGAGCTCCGCGACGGTGAGGGTGGGATGATGGAGATGAGAAGTTCTGAGGAGCAGCTGCAGCAGCAGCCGAACGATCTGAACGAGGAGTTGAAGTCGAGTTACAACAGGTTGAGGGCAGAGATTGCAGCAGCCAAGTAAGTAGGAGGAAGCGGAGGAGGGGGATGGGGAAGAGGAAGATGAGCAGCAGCAACAGCAGGTGGAGTGTGGGAGGGAAGGAGGGGGGGGGTTGGGGTGACAGGAGGAGGAGGAGGAGGAGGAGGAGGAGGAGGTGCTGGTGGTGGTGGATGAGCGGAGGAGGAGGATGATGAGGCTGAGGAGGAGTGTCTTCGTCCTGATAGCCTCCAGGCAAGAGAGCTTGGAATTGCAAAACCTGAGGACGGAGGTGACGAGTGCTTCAACTTTGGGGGTTGCGGGGGCGTGTGAAGGAATGTAAGAATTCTTTCAATGTCACTGACAGATGTCTGTTATCCTTCAGGTCGAGATGTCGTTGCAGAGTTTGCGGATTGAGATCGAGCAAGCTGCCGACGCCAAGAACAGGAGCGTCACTCATGTACAATCCCTCCCTTCCCTCCTACTCCTGCTACTCCTCTGCCTGCTTCTGAACTTTCCGTTTCTTGTCGCACTTTGGCAGTTTCGAAAGGAGCTGGAGAGTACAAACTTGTCAATCGCAAGATTTGAGAATGAGGTGAGTGAACCTACGATCTTTCCTTGCCTCGCCTTGTTGTCATCTACTGACTTTGGGCCTTTAGATCCAGAGGATGGACACGTTGATACAATCCGAGAGAGGGAATTCTGAGGTGAATGAGGGAGAGACAGAGAAGAAGCAAGGGAGGGATTGGGCAAGGAGTAAGAGGAGTAAGAGGAGGAGGAGTAAGAGGAAGAGGAGTAAGAGGAACAAAAGGAGGAGGAGGAGGAGTAAGTGGAGGAGGAGGAGGAGGAGTAGAGTATCAATGGATCCACGTGAACTTGTTCTTTGGCTTGCAGGAATTGAAGAAGAAAAGTGAAGATCTCGACAATCAGCTCAGAGATCTGAGAGCTCAGCATGTCTGTCTGCCTGCTGTGATCATGTTTGTTCCTCACTACATTCTCCAACAGGACCTTCTGGGCCTCGAAGTTGGTCATGTCAGAAACCAACTGAGCAAACCTGTCAAGGAAGTATCGTTCCACCATGTCAGCTCAAACCATGTTTCCCTGTTGTGTTGGTTTATTGTGAGGAATCTTTGCTTTCAGACGGCTGTTGACAAGATGGAAGTGGACAAGCTGAGAGAGAGGATGGAAGGTTTTGAAACACAAGTGAGTGTCGCATCTGCGTCTGCATGTTTGCTGAAGTTGGTCTGAGCAGCTGATGAGCCTGGGCGAGAGAAGAACGAGGGAGGAGTCAACAATAGCAGACACAACAACTTGTGAAAGGACGAATCACGAACTCAGCAGCGATGTGAGAGTGATTTGACAGTGTTCTGTTGACTTGTTGGTGATGTTCAAATTGTTGCAGCTGGATGCAAGGGCAGCCCAACTCACCAAGACAGCTTCAGAGGTGAACACGTTGCAGAAATTTCGAGAGAGCAAACTTTCTTTCTTGAAACAAGAGCGCTTGTTGAACTCACTATATGCGTGTGCTCATGTCTGCAACCATTCAGGTGCTGGGTGCAAAGAAAATGATCGAGTTGTTGCACACGGAGTACAAGCAAGAGTGAGAGTTGTCAGAGGCGAAGAAGATCTGTTGATCATGATCCCAGAAAGATCGCCATCGAGACAAGAATTAAGCAGATGGATGAGAAAGTCGAACAGGTTTGAGCTGACTTCTTTTGCCTCCTCCTCCTCCTCCTCCTCCTCCTCCTCCTCCTCCTCCTCCTCCTCCTCCTCCTCCTCCTCCTCCTCTTCTGATAACCCAGCAGGTTTCTTCTTCCAACCTCGAGGCGCTGGCAGCTCTTGAAGCGATTCGATACAAGGTCAGACTGTCCTTGCTCCCTCGTCTCCTCATCCATCTTTGACTTGCAGTACAACGAGTTTCTGACGCTCTCCAACGAGCTGAACGCGATGAAAGACGAAGTTGATTGCCCTTGACATGTTGTGCTGGACTGATGATGATGAAGACGAACAGTCTGATCAAGGAGAGCTCTGGCAAGGTGAGCAGAGGGGACGAGGGAGAGGGAGAAATGAAGATGAGACGCGGGAAGAGCCAGGACGAGGAAGGAGAGGGTTTGAGAGGATGTAATCAAGGGAGAGGAGGGAGGAGCAGGAGCAGGAACAAGAGGAGAAGCAGGAGAAGGAGGGAAGGAGAGAAGAAAAGGAGCAGAGGAGCGAGGAGAAGGAGGAGGAGAGATGTCTTGTTGATGTATTCTGAAATGATGCAGATGAAGGAGATCTCCACTGTTCTCGATCAAGTGCAGGAGCTGAGAAGGGAGATGACGGTGAGACCGCAGACAGAAATCATAAGATACCATAGCACAACGTCTTCATCTCACATTACAACATGTCATATTATAGCATAACAAGACATATGTCAGCAGTGTTGTGACGTTCAGAATAATCGGGTTACATATCAGTCTCATCTCATCTCATTCCATCTGATCTCATCTTGTATCAAATCATGAATTTGAATGCAGTTGAGGGACGACGCTCTTGACATTCGGTTGAGAGGTAAGGATTCTGAGAATTCCTCCTTGAATCTTGTTTGTACTTTTCTTTCTCCTTTTCTTCTCCCACTTTCTTCTTTCTCCCCTTTCCTTTCTCTTCTCACTCCTCTTCTTCTTACATTCTCTTCAAGAACTCAAAGTGCAGCTGAAAGAATACATAGTGAACAAGAAGAAGGCAAAAGATCCCTCTCCCTCTCCTCCTCCTTCTCCTTCGTCTTCTCCTTCTCCTTCTTCTCCTCCGCCCCCCCCCCCCCCCGCCCGCCCCCCCTTTTCTCCTCCTCCTGATTTTCTGCATCGCCTCCCTCTCTTCTCCTCCCCTCTCCCCTCTCCTCTCTTTTCCCTCCCTTCCTCCCCGCTCATCTCAAGTCTCTCCAGGAGCTCGACGGAGCCTCCACCCCTTCTCGCCCGACGTTCACGCCCGTCTCTTCTCCTCCTGCGCTGACATCGGAGTCACGATGCCCTTCAGATCAAGCGACCAGGCGCGACAGGAGAATTTCAAGGTGCGGAATCATGAGGAGGGGCAGAGAGGGAGCTGGAGAAGAAGAACATGAGAGGAGGAGGAGAGGAGGAGGAGGAGTTGGTGTTGGTGGTGGAGGAGGTGTAACAACGTTACAGGAGCAACGCCGTCAGCAGGTCTTCTTCCTTCTCTCACGCTTCCTTGTGCCTCCCCCCCCTCATCTTCTCCCCAGCCCATCAGGGGGTTGGCGGCGACGGCACGGCCAGCAAACTTTCCTTGCGCTCTCAGTCGCCGTCTGAGGTCTCAACGAGGAGGAACGAAGCCGCTAGACCTTCTCCCGAAGCTCATCAAGACGTGAGACGATCCTGCTCGTCGATGACTTCCTCCTCGTCTCCTGCTGCTGCTGCTGATCCTCCTCCTCCTCCTCCTCCTCCTCCTCCTCCTCCTCCTCCTCCTCCTCCTCCTCCTCCTCATTCTCATCCTTTGCTCTCAGGTTGGCATAGGAGTCAAGTTCTCAGCGACAGGGGACGGGCTGCTGGTAACCTTTCCTCCTTGTCTCTCCTCCTCTCTCCCCTACTCTTCTCCCTCGCTCCTTCCCTCCTTCCCTTCCCCCTTCTCTTGCTCCTCCAACTCCTCCAACTCCTCCTCGCCTCCCTCATCCTTGCCGCAGGTCGTCGATCTCGTTCCCAACAGCGCTGCCGCCCATGTCTCGGCCGTTCTCCTCCTCTCCGCACTGACTCGTCTACCTCAGAGCGGCGAGGTTCTCATAGGCGATCGTGTCGTCACCATTGACGGGCAAGACATCTCCATGGTGGGGACTCCTTCCCTCCCTCCTCCCTCCCTTCTCCTGCTTCTGCTCCCGCTCCCGCTCCCGCTCCTGCTCCGCGTGCTGCTGCTGCTGCTCTCCCCCTCACCAGAACTCCAGCTGCCGTCCTCGGAGGCCGTCCGCAAGATCCTCGGAGCCCCGAACTCACTGGTCACTCTCGGAATCAATCGCCATGGGCAGGCGAGTAACAGAAGTCCCTCCTCCTCCTACTCCTACTCCTCCTACTCCTTTCCTCCTCAACCCAATCATTCCCTCCTTTCCTTCCTCCTCCTTTTCCCTCTTCCTCCTCCTCCTCCTCCTCCCAATCATTCCCTGCTCTACCTCCTCCTCTGCCATCTCTTTCCCCCCTCTCTCCTTGTTCTCCAATCTTCTTCCCTCAAATTCTCTACAGTCAAGGAGCGTCAAGTTGGTCCGAGGCTGGACATCGAGCATGCCATGACCGAGGGGAAGGAGGAGGGAGATAGCTAGAGGGTCGAGACTTGTTCATCTCTTGGCTTTTATCTTTCATCTGATCTTTTTTGTTTTTTGAACTTCACAAAGAAGAAATTCCCTGTGAGCAAAGAAAAAAACAGGTTTCCCTTACAACTTCGATTACACATTTCATGGTACATCCTTCTGTTCAACCTTGTCGCCGTCCAACGCCAAGTCCCTCTCCATACATGTTGCGCCACCATTCGTTGTTTCCCGCTTGCTGATCCATCGCATGTACAGTCTCATCCATTCCCATGAGCAGCTTCTTACAAGCCTCAGGCCTGGTTCGCGTTCCACGTGGTTGGACCGGAGACCGATCCTTGACCAAGACCATAGAGGACCTGCAGCGATAGTCAGACGACGCTTCCTCCTTCCATCCCATGACTCACCCCAGCATACTTGGATTCATCGATGTTGTTCTCAAAAAATAATCTTGCCATTTTGAAAAATGTCAAAGATGTGACCTACACGCCTCAGTCAGGACGACACGCTCAACCAGCTGAGCTGCTCTTACCAAGCTGTCGCTGCCTGCTTGATGCGACGGTCCCACCCTCTTCACCTGTCGGAGACATTCAACGGCTGCTTTCTGACAGCAGGGGGAAGACCTCGAGCGTCTCGGCAATGCGATTCAGACCTCCTTTCAGTGATTCGCAGCTCTTCATGATGTACTGCGTGGCCCAGTCAGGCCACTTTGTCAAAGTTCTAACAATCTCACCTTGATATCGAAGAAGCATGGAAAGTAATCACCGAGCAGAGCAAAGAAGTCGCTTTCCTTCTCAGGAAGCTGTCAAAGAAATTCAGCCACACTGAATAGATGAAACCATCGTCCGACCTTGGCATTCGTCAACACTTTCACCAGATACCTGAAATTTCGCACTTATTAGCACGCGCATTTGAATTTAACGAGGGAAAAAGAAAAAAAAATATTACCCAAAATCGAAGTATGAATGGAAGGAAATCCATCGCACTTCCTCACTAAGAGTGAGTCCAGAAACCTGGAATACATCATCACTTCTTCTTACTCCCTCCCTCCCTTGTATACCATGAATAATCCCCCGAATTCTTCTACATCAATTCCATCTTTTTGATGCTTTTCAAAATCTACACCAGCCTGTTCGTCCAAGCCGTCAGCATGTCAACTCTCCCCCAGAAAACGAGATGTGCTTGATACCTTTCGCAGCAGATCGATCGAATCTTGGGCGAAAATATCATTTTCCAGATCAAAGCTGGAAGATATGTCATGGAAACACACCCGACCTTGCAAGTCCCAACCTGAAATGAAATTGCCATGTGCACCTTTCATGTAAGTTTCCGTTCTCGTCCGAGAAAGTTAATCCGAGCTGAGAAATTCCACTCAGCTACATGTCTGGCAACGGACGGGTATACCTGAATTATCCTTAACAGGTCAACATTGCATTTCACAGTCTGGAGAAGAAGTGTAAGAACGAGGACGAGCTCGTCATTTCGAGTGAATCAAAATTCTTCGAAATGAGGCATAGCCGAACAAAGACAGGACACATAATTACTTGATATTGATAATCTGTGTGAGAACGGAAGGTTCCATAAGGCCTTGCAACAACACCAGGAAATTCCGTGTCCATAGCAACGTATGGGTGCTTCAAGGAAGAACAAAAAGAATCAACAACCTCAAAGTCCCCCGCTCCATCCGTTCTCCTCACCGTTTGAACGATGTCAGAGATCTCCCTGAAGGCGTCTTCAAGATTATGCCTCCACACATTGATGATATTGGTGTCGTCAACAATCACAGGCTGGTTTGCCGCCAAGAGTTCGTTCATCATCGGAGCGGTCATCCCGGCACCTTGGTCGTCCTGGCGACAACGTGAGCTAACCTTCACTTCACGCTCTCCTTCCCTCCACGCTCTCCTTCCTCACCATGGACTGCTGATTCATCCATTCTGTTTGAGCAGAAAGTGTTGAGAGCTCGCTCGGTTCTCCGGGCGCGTCCCAGTCCTCTCCGTCGCCAATGGTCTCATCGTCTCCCTGCGCACCATCTCCTTCGGGTGCCATGGCCATTGGGGTCAAACTTCAAATCGCTTCAAACCAGGAAGGGATTATTCCATCTGCAGAGATAAATGTTAGACCATGATAAAATCAGCAAGCTGCCAAGATTTCACTTCCATGATTCATCTCTTGTAACATAAGGATCCGTTGAACTAAACCTGTCCACTAAATCCTGCTCCATGCGACAATTCCACGCTGAATAAAGTTTGCTGTAACTAGCTGCTTTCGCATAATCATTCATAACCTCTTATTCACGCCCCCTCCTACTCTTTTACAAAGTTTCTTGTGGTACATTTACCTTAGAACATCTGTCAACCATCTCCTGCCCCTCCTACCATACGCTACCAAGGCTCACCCTGCTAATCTTTCTGCATGCTTCGGCTTCAGCAATCTACCTTTCTTTGCCTGGCATTTCTTTTGTTCCAGCATCATCCTCTTCACCTCCCCTTCCTCTCCCCCTCCTCCCCTCCCTTCCTTCCCCACCATTGCCATTCCTCTTCCTCGCAGCGCTGGCGGGCGACGAGCGGAAGGGCAGGGGGGTGATATGTCATGGGTGGGTTACACGAAATCTTTTAAGATGATTCTAAATTATGAGATTTTGAGTTGCAATTGCCTCCTAATATTCAAATAAAATTTGAATATTTTGTCTAAAACTCCCATCGAAGGGGTGGGTAGTGAATTTAGTAGGGTCCTTTGGGGGTGGAGGGCTCATGATTTAAAAAAACCGATAAATAGTTTTATATCTGTATACACTATTTATAAATTTATATGATATTGTACTAACAATAGCAACTAATGGACTGATATTTTCCATAAATAAGTCGAGTAATATTAAAAAGATGTAAATAGTACACGGATATCAAATTTCGTACGATTTACTACCAAGTTTTTTCAATAGAAATTTTGAACATGGCTCTATTTAAAATACTAAAATAATGATAACTAAACCTCATGGTAGTTAACCCTTCCACTTTTCGAAGTTTCGGCCCCAGAACGTCCAAACTTTCAGAAATTTCGCCACTGAAGTCTCAAAGTTTCACCGATCGGCGGCAGCCGGGCCCGGGCCGGGTCCCCGGGCCCGGGCCGCCGGGCGCAGCAGCAGGTAAAAGGCAACTTGTGCCTGTACAGGTGCTCTCGGACATGTTGCAGATGTCTCTGAATTGATACAAGTACTTCACACTATCAAACAAAATCCCTCGGGGCCCCGGACGCTCAGGTTGAGTTGCTCCGCGTCGCCTCCTATGCTCATGTGGTAGTTCGTACAGCCACGTCGTGAAGGAGATACGCAATAAAGATGTGCAGAGCCCCAGCATACATGGCGAGGATGAGGACGATCTGTGAGTACGAGTGAGGATAGAAGAGTAGAAGAGTAGGGGGAGACAGGCAAGAGGAGCACAAGGAGCTGGGATGAGGGGAAGGGGGTAATCTCGGAACAACACGGTGGGTGCCGCGGCGCTAGAGGAGCAAGTGGGGAGTTACTGAGGTGAAAAGGCTGACCGGCCATGGGCTGCGCAGGTCCCTGCGAATGCGGAAGAGAGAGATGCCGATGTTGCGGATGAGGGAGAGGAGGGCGCGCCGGAGACCACTGCAAGAGAGAGGGGAGAGTCAGTGAGCCACTGGTGGAAAACAAACAGGAAGAGGAGCCGTGGAGTAGATGCAAGAATCTGAGGAGGGGGGGAGGGAGGGAGGGAGGGAGAGAAGGGAGGAAGGGAAGGGAGAGAAGGGAGGAAGGGAAGGGAGAGAAGGGAGGAAGGGAGGGGGGGGGAGAGAAGGGAGGAGAGACCTGGCCTCGACCAAGAGACTTTCACAGTTGTCTCGCTCCACATGCTGCATCCGCTCGCAGTGCCGGCAGTGTTGGTTTGACTTTCCCCCCATGGAGCTCACCATGTTCCCTCCTTGACGAGCGGCAGCGAAATCTGTTGGCAGATCCTGCATATCCACCACCACGTGCTCACCCAGCTCTCTCCCTGCTCCCTCAGACGTGGACGCGGCAGGCACCGGCTTGCGAGAGGCCTGCTTGAGCCTCATCGTGGCCTGAAGCATCTGATCTCTCAGGAGCTCGTTCTCCTCCTGCAGCTCCGTGATCCGCATATTCGCTTCCTGCAGGTGATTCAACATCTTGACGTCCGGCCTGACGCTGCGCTCCTGCCGCCTCCTCTCCTCCTGCGACTGAACTTGCCGCGTGTTCGGCACAGCTGCGCGTGCCAGTCAAACAGGCAGACGAAAGTCAAGAGCTGGGAGGAGATGGAGAAGAGGCATAGAGGGGTGTGAGGGACCATGGGAGCGAGCAGAGGAGGGGAAGGTTAGCTGACCTGGATCTTCTCGTTTGGGCTTTCTCTTGAGGAGCTGAAGGAGGGGCAAGAACGGAGCGACTGATCCCTGGACGGAGAACATGGCAAGATGTGTGTGGAACTTCATCTGCAGGTACAACAATGAGAATAAAGGAGAAGGGGAGGGGAGCGTCATCAGAGTGGTGAGAAAAAGAAAGAAGAGGGCGGAGGGAGGAGAGAGGAAGGAAGAGGAGGAGGAGAGGGAGATGGTGGAGGAGGATAGAAAAGAGGAAGGGATGAGATAGGGAGCTGGTCGAGGGGAGCAAGGGAGGAGGAACTTGCCTGACGGTGCATGAAATCCTTCAAAAACTTCAACGACCTCCTTACCCGACCCCCCTTTGAGCTGGAGCGCGCAGCTGTCCCACCTGCTCGACTTGACTCGTTGTCCTCCCCCTCAGCTCCCAAGACTGTCCAGTCGAGGAAGAGGGAGAACTTCTCCGGTTGCGAGGGAACGGCGAGCTCCCCGGGGCACTCCAGCGAGAATGAGGGGCTCTTGATGGAGCAGAGGCCGGAGGCAAACTGCATTCGCACCTCCTCGGCGCTCGCAGAGAAGAAAAATCTCAAGGAGGCAAGAGAGTAGTGTACCTGCTCCTGCTCAGGAGCACCGCTGAGTGCACCTAGGGCCGGAGGGACAGGAGCAGGAGCGGACGGGCCGGCGTGCGCGTTCTGTGGGGCGCGTGCGCTCTTGGACAGGAAGGCCTGGGAGAGGGAGAGGCTGTTCTTCACCTGCTCCACCCTCATGACGGAGGAGAGGATCCAAGTGAGGCAGTTGAGCTCCTCGATGCTCATCTTCATCCTCATGTCCTTCATGTTGGCTTCCAGGCGGAGGCTTCCAAGGTCCATCGAGTCCTGCACGCGAGCGAGGCCCGTCCCCGACTCGAAAACTCCGTTCATCTCCATCGACAGCTCCTGCTGCACGAAACTTTGGAGGAGGAGCAACGCCCCCGTCCTCTGTTCCCTTGAGAGCAGGTTCATTTGCAGACCCTGCAAGCGGCCGAAGAAGAAGGTGGGAGGAGCGGGAGCAGGAGGAGCAGGAGGAGCGGGAGGCGGCGGCTGGGAAGCTGGATTCTGCTGCTCGCTGGTCCTCTCAATGTTCTGAATGATGAAATTGTCGAAGGACATCATAAGTGCTGGGATGAATTTCATCTCTAGATCCTCTCTGCTGTGATCGGGATACACGGCAAGCGACACGCCCTTGATGTGCAGATCCAGGTAAACTTCTCGCAACACCGCCGGCCGCGGAGGAGGAGGGGGAGGAGAGGAATAAGGAGCAGCCATTCCACTGCTATGTAAGTTGTCATCCTTGGAGAAGTAGCTTCGGATGTTATGAGCGATGCTGTTAGACCTCTCGTACAAGATCAGCTTGCAGAACTTGTGAATGTTGTCGAGAGCATGAGGGGAGACACGAGCATTCAGAGGTTGCATGTGTAGCTTCAGCCAGATGCCATCCTCAGATGGGCTGTCTGCGGATCTGAACGAGTTTGGATCGAATCTCTCCTGCTTCCCCCTGTCTCTCTCCAAGCTCGGCATCGTCGACTTCTTGGAGAAGGTGAAGGCGGCAAGGATGCAAGAGCTGTCATCGTGCTTCCAGCCGTCCTGCGAGGACTGCGAGATGGAAAGCTCCACGTCCTCTCCCCTTGCCCTCCGCATGAGAGTGCTGGCGAGCGCAGACCCGTTGCTGCTCATGAGCTCGTCGAACAGGGAGGCAGACGGCAGGCTCGAGCCGTTAGCTCGATCCCCCTCCCTGGAGAGAGGGCTGCGGAATGTTCGCTGAAGCTCCTCGGACAGCTCCTCGTTGTCAACCTCAATGTCCCCTTCCTCCACATACTTTGTCTTCCGTGGGCCCTTGAGGGAACTGCACCTGAACCGGCTGGGAAAGAGAGCGGCCGGGGTGTGGAACTCCTGCAGATTCTCCGGCAGGTCCGACCAAATGTGCTGGCTCCCCTCCACCTCCTTCCCGCTCATGGTAGCTTGCTTGCTGGGCCTCGAGCTCGGCCGGAAGATGGCTGAGCTCAGGTCCCTTCCAAACTGCACGATCGGCTCCCACCTGTTCTCCATGGACGTTGCGCTGAGGAGGAGGGAGACGACTGAAAGCCGAAAGTCCTTGACAAACCGCCGAGCAATCATCCGGGAGGACAGGAAGGAATCACACCGTTGCTGCCTGATCAGCATCGTGATCCCCGACGAGCAAAGACGAAGGAAGTCAGCCCTGCCCTCCGGGACGTTCCGGGAGAGTACGACGCCGATCTTTCCTACGGTGAAGCCGATGATGCTGGCAACAGCTACTCTTGGAGGGCTTGAGCTGGGGTCCCCGACCCCGTCCTCTCCTTCGCATCCTTCCGGGTCGTCCTCACTGTCGTACGAATCCCCGAACGAGAAAATGCTCGAAGCATAACCAAACCAGCCCCTCTTCCCGCTCGGCTGTGACAGAGCCTCCACAGTCATGTCACCCTGCCCCTTCCCCTGCTCAATCCGACCTTCCTCTTGTTCATCGCTGAGTGCCGCAGGAGCTCGTCGCTCCGCTCCCTCCTCGGCCTGGGAGACTGCTGCATGCACATGTGGGTTTACAGGAGTCTTCTTGCCATGCATGGCATCTTCGCCCATCTTGACTCTTTTCTTCTCCTTGTGGATCGCCGTGACCATCGAGATAACCTCGTGGAACAGCATGCACAACATCGCCACCTTGCTGTCGCAGACATTCAGCAGAAACTGCTCTAACCTGATATCCACTTGTAACGATGGAAGGTGCAGCGGCGAGCTCCTGGTCGGGCTGCCATCGGGGTTGATCCGATGGACGATCCGGACTTGGACGCTCTCTCGATTGAAGAGAGGATCACCGTAAACCACGTTTCCTCTCTCGTCGACAGCATCCAAACACCAAGTGGCGTGCTCGAGATTGATCACCTTGAAGTAGGATTGGGTCTCGCCGTCGGGGTCCGCAAACGCGGGCTGCCACCGCATGTTGGTGGACTTCACCGACAGAGACTTCCACGAGATGGACGACACGTACTCGTCTGTGCAGTATTTGAACACGAGGTTCCGGATGTCCACATTGATGTTCTGCATGATGCGCGACAGCATTGATTGCATCCAGCCCTGGCTCTCTGGTCCTTCACACTGGTCGGTGGACTTGGTCTTCGAGGGATCCAGCTTCGGGGACTTCTGAGGTGATCGGGAGACACTGACAGGGCCTGTTGGCGTTCTTGCGACAACCTCAACATTGGATAATGTGAACTTGATGTTGTCGCGCAGGAGACTGGCGAGAGGAAGGTAAACCCGCAGCTCTTGGATGAAACCTCTCGTGAACACAACTGGGAGGCCCAGCTCCTCTTGCAAGACATCTAATCGCAGCTCAACATTCTTGAAGATAACTTCTCCTTGCCAGATCGCTGCTTGCTCCGTCGTCACGTTCTTGAGCCATTTCTGCAGGTACCTGTTTATGATGCTTTGGACAATCGAGGCTGCCATCGTGATGCGGGAAGCCTAAGAAATCTTCTCCTTGGTGAGCTGATAAGGGAACTCGGTTCTGAGACTTCTCCGGGATTCAGTTTGCTGATCACATCCTGTCTGAAGACCAAACCATCCGCCCTGTCAACCTTTGCTGGGATCACACAAGGAGTTGCGATCGTAAGTCCCGTCCGGCTTCAGCGTCCGCATGAAGGGCGCCTCACAGCAGCTTTGCCAGGTATAGAAACTGGTCTAAGGATTCTCGCGATTGCACATGGACGATCCCATGGCACAACGGCTATCCATGTACCTGAAGGACAAAGTTAGAGACAAGCGTTCCTCCCTGCATGATTTCTGCAAAGCAAGCTTCCTAATCATTACACGCCATCATTCGGTGGATTTCTGCTCATCATTTTTCTTCTACAACAAATGTTCTCGTATCTCCCCTTCAAACTTCTTTCTGTCGACATGTTCATCCTCATTGTTTGCTGTTTCGCTTCGTCCTCCTCTGCATCCTCGTCCTCGCCTCGCCTTCGCCCTCTGCTCTGTCGCTCCTCTCTCCGCCGCCATGTTGCGTAACACCATTCCACCAACCTACCCTACCCACCTCAATACACCCCACCCCCTTTATTACCCCACCCCTCCCTTTTGAAATTCTTTGTGTCACCCCGTACTTTATCCTACATACTACCCCCAAAAATGTCGATGGGTACAACCCCACCCCCTTGATTCGTCTACCACCCTGTCTTGAAGTCCTTGCACAATGTTCACCAGAGAACAAAGTAGGACCCTCATCCATTCCCCACCTAGACAACCCTACCCCCCTACCCCCTAAACACCAGTGAAAAGTGCCCATAAGTGCGATCTCAACTTTCTACCCCTACCCCCTACTTAGATGACCCCCACCTCTACACCGCACAAAAGCACCCCTATCTGCTAAGATATTTTTCTGGGTCCCTTCCTTGTCCTGTTTTCACCCACCCCATTGCTCACTACCCTACCCACATAGAAAACAACGAAAAAGTGTGTTGTCTAGGGAGACCACCCCATCAAAAATAACCCCACCCATGTGGATTTCGTTGAATGAGGTGGTTTGGCACTTGATTAAAATTTTTCATATGAATATTTGATGAGTGAAATAAAATTAGAAAAGTTGGGTAGGGGGTACTCAATTACCATAAGAAGCACTACATAAATATGTTTAAATGAGGGGTGTAGCTCGAGTCGAAATGGTTGAGTGGGGGTGGGTCAGATCATTTCATGGGGTATGGGGTGATCGCTGAATTGCGGAAATAGACAAAACAGAGAACGACACTTCCGAAAGGGGTCTTGGCGAAGCAAGATTATCGAGTTAGGACAAACATTTATCTATCAAAATCAACATTAAACCTGAAATTTGATTATTTGAAAACAAATGAGGAAAAAGGGTGAAATTCGAGAAGGGCGGGAACAGTGAGCGGCATTGAGCGAAATTCAAGGGAAATGGGTTTGGGTGCAGGAGGAAGGAAAAGCGAACTGCGAGGATGGTGATGTAAGAGTGAGAAAGGCCGTAGAACGATGAGTTTTCATTGCCTTGGGCTTGTGATGTACTGTTGTCGCACACGATGCGCGATCGGGAATACTAGTTCAATCATGGCATGCTGGTAGCTAGCGAACGGAAAGTATGCGAGAATTCAGGATGGATCGGATTGCTCTGGTTTTGACGACCAGAAGCGAGGAAATTCCTATGGTTCAAATCACGAAATGACATGTCGAGCAAAATATCTTGTCCAGAGCTGAAGCTGAGACTAGCATATCAGAAGCAAGGATTTAGATAGATGAAAACCTTCTGACTGTATTTTGGCAGAGAGTCTGAAGTCTGACTATTTCAACAGGAGAACTTGATCATATCTGGTTTGGCTCACAAACATACCCTGCTGCACAACATGGGTCTCTAGCATATGCTTTCGTGTACTGGAAGGCGAGACTGCATAGAAAGAGACAAAACGCACCTCGACGATTCGAGGTTGCACAAAGGTACAGACGAGATGGGCGTCCAAGAATCGCCAACAGAATTTCAGCTTGTCATCACATCTTGTACATCTGAGACTGTTCAGGGCAGTGAGGGCAGTTACACTGCATACTGCTTGAGATGTGTCTTGGTGGGTTTGGGGGGCAAAGAGAGGAAATCGTGGGAAGTGAGAAGGAGGTACAGTGAGTTCCATGACCTGCATACGAGGATGAAGGCGCTTGGAAAGGTTGGTCCCATGTTGCTTTGCTCGTGATCAAGGTCAACCCAACCTCTTTTCCAGGTTCATGCAGAACTACCTTCCAAGAATCCGCTGATCAAGATGGCAATGGTTTGTGGCCTTGGATGTTTGTGATGACGATTGATGGTGAAAACAGTTGCGGAAGGAGATTGAAAGAGATCGAGAGACAGGATTGCAAGATTACCTCAACTGCGTCTTGGAGAAATGTAACGATGATCAGTAAGTCTTGTGGTCACCGGGGCCGGGAGCTGACTTCTTGAAACAGATGCCTCCTCCTGTCCAAATTCTTACATGTAAACAAGCACCTTGCATCCGGAATGGTTGGAAGCCTCAGAAACTCTGTTAGATCCCTCCCGCATCTGGAGTCTGCGCCGACCAAGTCAGAAAAGCAGCATGCCGTGAAGGCTAATGAACAGTCGTCGAATCCAGACCTTCCTCGGGAAGGAAACCTAGGAAGCGTGACTTACAACCAACAGCTACAATTGCTGGATGACTTGAAGCAAAGAAACAACTCATCATCGGGAAGAGAAGCCGTTCACACCGCATCACACCGATCACAACATAACGAACAGCAGGACGTGCCTCCATCGAATAAGCAGCATCTCTCAGCGCAGCAGCAGAAGAAGGCGTCTTCAGTTCATGCTTCTGACCCCAAAGAGCAAGCCAAAGCAGGAGTCGGTTTGTTCTTCATCCAGAACGACGCAAATATGAGCGAAGTTGATGAAATTATCCAAGGCAGCTCAGCCAGTGCGGAAGGAACGATTCAGGTTGGCGACATCCTGCTGGCAGTTGACGGCGTTAGTGTGGCTGGGAAGGATCTTTGTCAAGCGAGAGATTTGATCGTCGGGCCTCCGGACTCATTCGTCAGCCTGAAATTTGCAAGAACAGAACAGAGGTCAGATGGGCAAAGGTGAAATCCATCTCCTCATCTCTGCATTCCTCTTCAGTTCTTCCCGTGTCTGTTGACTTCTGCTTCTCCTTTTCACTTCTCTTCCGATTTCCTATCCTCTCTCTCTCTCTCTCTCTCTCTCTCTCTCTCTCTCTCTCTTTCTCTCTCCCTCCCTCTCCCTCCCTCTCCCTCTCCCTCTCCCTCTCTCTCTCTCCATCTCTCACTCTCTATGTTTTTTTGTTCAATCTCACGACAAGACGCAGCGTGTCGAAGGAGTATACGGTTAGATTGAAACGAGCACTGAAGAGGTCGAAAGTGGACAGCAGCTCGATGCCGGACATGCAAGATTCAGGCTCTATGGAGCAAAGGACCGCCTCTCGCAACAATTCAACCGTCTCTTCGGATGGCACCAAGGCTCTGATGCAGAAGGCGGCGCCTCGTCCGGAGGCGAAGGGACCGGGACAGGGGGAGACGACGAGCAGGGCAAAGTTCGAACAGCAGGAATCCTTCACACGGCTGAATCAGGAGGCGTCGGATCAGTCCATGTCAAGATCGATAGTCAGCAGAGAGGCGTCGGAGAACTGGTCGACCGTCCGTGCCATCTGCGCGTTTGACGCCCAAAGACCGCACGAGCTGTCGCTCAAGGTTGTTAGACGAGAGAGGGAGCGAGGGCGACGTTGAGCTGACCCTCTGGCAGGTCGGCGAGTTCGTCGTCATCCTCAGGAAGCATCCGAGCGGCTGGTGGGAGGGCTGCTCGACCAGGGATGGGCGGAGGGGCTGGATCCCCTCCAACCATGTGGAGGAGATCGATGCTCAGGTGAGAGAACTGCTGTTGTCCCGAGCTGTGCTCTGACGCCATGGAAGGGGATCGTGTTGGAGCAGGCGCTCCGTGCGACTGTGCAGAGCATGATGGGAGGGGAAGGGACGAGTCAGGCGAACGAGTTCCTTGCACAGCTCGCCCCTCGGCTCTCGCAGGGTAAACTGAAGTTGGACATCTGTGCGGAGTAGTCGGACTGACCTGGTTCTTGTCAACAGGCAGCACGTTCAGCTCGCAGTCGCTGTCACTGAGAGAAACTGTGATGGCAAACCTGTCGACTGTCTCTGCAGGTAGAAGCCTTCCTAGCCCACTTGTACCCCTAGCTCACTTGCTCTCAGACTCAGAGGCCGTGCGGGAAGGAGCCGCGAATCTCCCGTCCAACGTCGCTGACTTCACGGTAGAGCATGTATGTGCATGGTTGGAAGGTAAGAGATCGCACTACGTCCCTCCCCCTCATGGCTTCATCTCCGTCTCTCCCTCCCTTCGCTCCTCTCCCTCCCCTTCCTGTCTCCTCTCCCTCCCCTTCCTGTCTCCTTTCCTGCTTCTCCTTCTCGCGCTCACTCACAGCAGGCATGGACCTCGGAGAGTACGCGGATGTCTTTCGGACCAACAAGATCGACGGGGACCTGCTGGCAGAGCTCGAGGAAAGGGATCTCCTAGAGGTAAGCAGGGGTAGGAGGAGGGGCAGGGAGGGGGGAAGGACAGGGAGTGAGGGAAACGAGCGATGGGAGAGTTGAATCTTTGAAAACAGGACTTCGGGATCACGAACAAATATCATCGGAAAAAGATCATGAAGAGATTGCAAGGACATTGATGGGAAGGAGAGGGAGTTTGTATTGTAAGGACCTGTTTGTATTCATTCGTTTCATCCTTTAAGCTCATCCGGGTACAAGAGATGATTGTAATTGATTAGTTATCACACGATGCAATGTGGCCTGCTGGTATCGATCCTGCATGTCGATCTCAGAAAATAACACGCTGACTTGCATCTTGTGTTCAAGAGTTCTGTCGCCTTGTTAACATCATCGGCTCCTCCTCCTCCTCCTCCTCCTCCTCCTCCTCCTCCTCCTCCGCCCCTTCTCCGTTTGAGTCCGCGTTCTCGCTCTAGCTATTCAGCGCCTTCCCCAAGTCGACGGAAAGTCTTGCGACGCGATGAAATTCGTTCTTCTTGATTGCTGACTGCAAGCATGCGAAAAACATCAGCCTCCTCCTCTTTTGTTCCTCCCTTTCTCCACCGGAAACCTCCTCGATCTTCCTCCCTCTTCTCCCTCCCTCCTCTGCCTCCTCCTCCTCCCTCCCTCCCTCCCTCCTCTCCTCTCCTCTCCCTCATCCTCCTGCTCCTCCTCCCCAAACTCAGTCCCTGATCTCCACCGGCATCGAGATCTACTCTCTCACTCACCGAGATTTCCTTGGAGAACAAGTCGGTGATGGACATGGAACGGTTGGGGGAGGTCGGCGGTACGGGGGCTGATGATGGTGAAGGAAAGTTAGGATGAGAAGAGACGAGGGCAGCGGAGGGAAAGAACGAGAGCATGACGGAAGGTGGAGGAAGCAGGCACAAATATTGAAGTGGAGAGGGAGAGTGGAAGGAGCAGGAGCAGCAAGAGGAGGAGGAGGAGCAGCAGCAGCAGCAGCAACAGCCAGAGGAGGAGGAGGAGGAGGAGGAGGAAGTATTGGGATAAACCAGGCGGAAAACTCTCACCAGCTGCCTTGGTGCGAGGCTTGGTGAACATGCTGTTTGAATCTACCGGGGAAAGCAGATCAGATGGAGGGGGAGGAAAGAAGAGCTGATGTGGAGGAGGAGCGCGAGGAGGAGAGCGAGGAATAGAGCGAGGAAGAAGACGAGGAGGGAGCTGAGGAGTTGAGGAGTTGAGGAAGAGGATCTGAATGCGGAAGAGAAGAGAAGATGTTTTTTGCTCACCTAATATCGGATTGCTCATGGAAGACAAGATGACTCGGGAGCTGAAAAGAATGTAAGGAGAGAAGCAAACCAGCGGAAGAGGAGAGGGAGGGAGGGAGGGAGGGAGGGAGGGAGGGAGGGAGGGATCACCCGTTTGTTGTCGCTCTTTCTTCATGGCTTGGCATATGCTTCATCACCTCAGACGGTGCTCTCCTCCTCCTCCTCGCAGCCGGGACGCTCTCCTCCTCCGATCCCTCCCTCCTCTTTGCGGCGTCTAAGGAGGTCAGGGAGGATGCGTCGAGGCGCTGCTGGCTGCTCTTGTACTGGTCGGAGACGCTGCGGTGAAGCTCGAACGGCTTGTGGTGGCTGACGAGCGGGGAGGGAGACGATCTCGGGATACTGTTGAGCTGCAGCCCAGCAGCTTTCTGCTCGCTCAAGTAATTCTCAGCTGACTTGATACCGTTGGAGCCCTGGGGAGAGTCAGAGCGAGGAAGAGCCGCAAGTGAGGAGGGAGGGGAGGAGGAGGGGGAGGAAAGAAGGATGGAAGCAGGAGGAGGAGGAGGAGGAGGAGGAGGAGGAGAGAAGAATGAAGAAGGAAAAGGAGGAGGAGGGAGGAGATACATTCTGGTAGCGAGAGAGGTTTAGGATCATGTGCTGGAGCTCCTGCAGCTGCAGCAGGATAGCCTCATCCTTTCCCTCTGCTCTAGCGGAGGAGGCAGGAGCAGGAGCAGGAGCAGGAGCGGCCGGCGGGGCAGGAGGAGGAGGAAGGGGTGTGAAGGGAGCGTTGAAGAATTGCTGCGGCGTCATGGACATGAAGGCAGCGAGCGTCCCCTCGATGCTTGCGATGCTCTTCTCCACTTTGTCGACGACGAAGGAGATGTCGGAGGGAGGAGGAGGGGGGGGGAAGGAGGAGGAGGAGAAGATCGCGCTGCCTGCGCTGTGATTCCTCTTCAGCAGCACCTCCATCCTCTCCATCCTCTCGTCCATCGCCTTGGTCCTGTCCTCCATACCAGCCATGCAGACTTCCAGCAGTTTGAGCATCAAGATGATCGCCTGTTCACAACGTCATCTTCCTCCTCCTCCTCCTCCTCCTCCTCCTCCTCCTCTTCTTCTTCCTCCTACTCCTCCTCCTCCTCCTCCTCCTCCTCCTCCTCCTCCTCCTCCTCCCTCCCTCCTCCCCCCCCAGCCCTAAACCCCCCCATCGTACTTTCCATATTCGTTTCTCCTTGCTCTCCTTTCCTCTCCTTCCCCTCGTTACCACGGCTTCCTCCTTCCACGCTCCCTCCCCTTCCTCCTCCTCTACCTTGTTGTCCGCGTCGCCAGTCTCGGTCATGCAGAACGTGAGCTGCCGCTGGGAGTATCGCAACAGCTCCTTGATCATCATTTCCTCGAACTGCTTGTCGTCAAACTCTCCCTGCTCGTTCAGCAGCTGCCCGCCCATGGTCATCAGGTCGAAGTCGTCTTTGATCAGGTAGATCGGATGGTCCGTCGGCAGCAACCGGCTGGCAAGATGTGAGACTTGACTCCTCCTGCTCCTGCTCCTGCTCCTGCTCCTGCTCCTGCTCCTGCTCCTGCTCCTGCTCCTGCTCCTGCTCCTGCTTCTCTGCTCCTGCTCCTGCTCCTGCTCCTGCTCCTGCTCCTGCTCCTGCTCCTGCTCCTGCTCCTTGACTTTCCTTCCTTCCTCCTACTCCCTACTCCTGCTCCTCCTTGTCTTTCCTTTCTCCTCCTGCTCCTGCTCCGCTCCTGCTGCTCCAGCTCCACTTTCCTTTCTCCTCCTGCTCCTCCCCCTCCTTCCTCCGCCAACTCCCCACAATTTCCCCATCCTTGCTGACCCTCATCATCGCCACTTGTTCGTTTCCTCTCCTTGTCCTCTCCCCTCATCTCCAACTTCCCCGCTCGAACTTTTACCTCGTTTCAATCATCGTCCCCCTTGTACCTCCTTGTACCTCTTGCTACCTCCTCCCTCCCCTCGCTGCTTCCTTTGCGTTCTTCGCCCTCGTTCCACTCTACTTCTTCCTTCTACCTATCCTTCCCCTCCCAAGCTGCGGCTCCCTTCTCGACACTTCCAGTCCTGCTGCTGCTGCTGCTGCTGCTGCTGTCAACTTACATTCGTTCCTTGAGCTCCGAGTAGTTCAGACCGCCACTCTTGTCCTCGTCCATTTTCTGCCCATTGAGTGAGGACGAGAGAGGGATGGGAGGACAAGGACGAGGAGAAATGAAGAGGAGGGAGAGGAGCAGGAGCAGGAGAGCAGGAGCAGGAGCAGGAGCAGGAGCAGGAACAAGACAAAGAGAAGGAGGAGAAGCAAGAAGAGGAGAAGGAGGAGCAGGAGTTACATCGAAGGTTGATCGGATTTGCGACTTGAGGTCAAGGGAATCATTAAACATGGTCATGCTGACTGTCAGAGGATCCAGAACTCCTGAAGCAGTTTGAGGAGACAGCAGAGGAAGGGAGAGGAGAGAGGAGAGAGGAGAGAGAAAAAGAGAGAGGAGGAGAAGAGAGAGGAGGAGAAGAGAAGAGAGGAGGGGAGAGGAGAGGAGAGGAGGGGAGGGGAGAGAAGAGGAGAGGAGAGGAGAGGAGAGGAGAGGAGAGGAGAGGAGAGGAGAGGAGAGGAGAGGAGAGGAGACGGTGGGAAGGGAAGGTGCGGCGGACCGCTAATCCTGCAAGCTTCTGCTTCCATCTCCTTACGCATCTGCTCCTCTTGCTTCTCACGTGTCACCTGATAGTTACATCAAACAAATCCTGCTCATGATGATGATGGTGAGGAGCAGGAGCAGGAGCAGCCGCAGCAGCCGCAGGAGGAGGAGGAGGAGGAGGTAGGAAGGAAAGCAGAGCAGTGGAGGGGAGGAAAGGAAAGCAAAGAAGGAGACGGAAGGGTCTACTCTTGTGCAGGCTGAGCTGGAAGGAGGGGAGAGGTCAGGAGGAGGAGGAGGAGGAAAAAGAGAATAGAGCGGAGGAGCTTACAGAGGACAAGAATTCATCCAGCAGGACTGAGGAGAGTGAAGTCAGAGAGTTGGAAAGGAAGCAGGCGATTGTCCTACCAGTGAGAACTACATTCATTAGGACCATCTGCAGAGAGATCAGATTCCAGAAGAGAACGGAGGGGGGGGGTGGGGGTGCG